CCTGGATGTTCCAGAGTTCCCAACCACTCCTGCTGGAGAGGACACTTGGACATGGTGGCAATTACCCTCAGTCCATAGAGTACACGGTGATCAACCTTTGCTTACAGGTAGCCCTTAATGAAGAGAAATAAACCCTGACAACTCAGGAGTGATATCATTAAAAATGGCATCTTCTTACGGGAATACAGTACCTTGATATAGGTAACCTGAAATTTTGGTAGACTTCTTAACGGCTCATGATACTGCAGGCCACCACACTGTCTATCATGCTTCAGTTTCTCAGAGAATTGCTAGATCCAGGCTCCTTCTACATCATTTTTCCAATTGCCATTATGTCTTTTGCCATTTCATAACGCCCAATTCCCTTCTGCAATATCTGTCTTAACACACAATCTTAATTTACTGCTATGTGTGAATGCCATCAACCAATTCACTTTCTCTCAAACCTCTGGTGAGAAAAATATATGAAATTAGAGTTAATCCTAAACCCTGAAGTGCCCCACTAGACAACTTATCCTGGTTAAATGTATTTAATTAAGCTCATCATCATTCTAGTCAAGTGCCAGATCACACAAGAAGTCTCAAACCCAAACTCATATGGAATTATTCCCCTCCCAGATCTAGAGTCAAATCTACACTTCTATAGAGTTCTGAAAACCAATTACATACACATAAACTCATTCAGTGTTGTAACAATCAGGTTATTTATATCCCTCTCAGAATAACTATTCCATAGAAATTGATTCACATGGAGCTGTAATATCAGGAAAGCTGTAATCCAGCTGAATCCAAACCCTCTTTCTTCCCTGACAGCTACTATTAAGCAGGCAGCAAACACATCCCATGTAACTGGATGCAGAAAGAGTCTCCTGGTTGTTAATTTTCTTCACTCGTACTTGAGATTATCACAGCCCTGATGAATTAACCTTATTTTCCACTAAATATGCAAAAGTTATTTCAAGAGGTAATGAAATATAGGCAGTTACCACTAGCTAACCATGAGAGAATTGAGCTCAGATCCCTTGAATAAGAAGGCAAAAACAGCATAGTTGAATTAAACAAACTCACTACCAGATTTAAATTTAGAAGAGAAGAAATTACAATCCTTAGAAGATCTGTAAAGTTACTCCAATACGTCCTGTAAAGAGAAGCAAGGAAGCAGTAAGAAATTCATGTGGCTAAACCAGAGTTCAGTGCTGGGCTGTGCACATTAAAATCCTGCTCCTGAAAATGTTTCCCAAAAATAGGGCAAACCTTAGTGACAAGGATATTAGAGATCAACAGTGCAACAATAGCTGTCACCAACCATGAGCCAGCAAAACCTTCCATGTCAGTCTGGCAGGAATAACCTTAGAAAGGCCTTGAATTCATTGAAAGCCATAACAAAAACTGATTTTCATTAATAAATTCCTTTTCTTCCAAACATTTCCCATAAATAATTATGTGCAGAAATATTCCTGTATACACAACACGTGTTGGTCACAACATTTTGGACACCTCTACGATATCTGGAACATGACATAATTGACTGACATATGACAGTTTTTTAACTATAAACTGAAAAATGGAATTCTGAAACTTCATGGGTTGACTCCTTTCTCTAAAAAAAGACTCAGAGGGGGGGAAAAAATCCCAGATAGGTGTTTCTCCCTTGCATTTGAAAACAGCAGTGTGATCTGGAGAGGAAAAAGATGATTTAGTGTTTTGGGAAGGGGGCAGAGGAGTGAGTAGATAACACAAGGCAGCATTGAGCAGGGCTCAGGGAACTGCTCAAGGCAGTGCCTGGGGGATGAATTACGAATTGGGGAACATCCAAACACACCTTCCTCTCAGGAAAACCGATCGCAGCCCCGAGGGATGGAGAGGGCATTGACAGTAACTTGCAGAGTTCAGGGCAGTTCAGGTTGCTCAGGCGGCCCAGTGCCGAGCTCTGGTGAAGTGTATCACCAGCAAAACGCCCTCCAAGAGACACAAAACCAGGAATTGTTTAAACCATGGACTGCTGCCACAGGACTCAGTCATGCAGAGCTAATAGATCAGCTGCTGCTGCCTTGCTTACCCAAACACTCAGCTGAGGTTACAGTTTCTCACTATTTTCTTATTTTAGAGATAGTTATCTCATCAAAGGAGCCTTGGATTGTCATGCAACATTTACAACAGTCAAAATGACATTAAATGGTTCCAGCTACATCTGGGATAATCAGATACCTCTTTCCAAATCAAAGCATCATTGTTTTCTTTAACACGTCCTACATCCAGGCAACCCATAACTTCCTTAAGCTCTGTCTCTCAGGAGCAGTTTATTGTAAATGACTTATTGGAATCCTGAATTATTGGCAGCCTCCTCTGACCATAATTTCTTCTCTTAAAGAAGGTTTGTCAGTAAGTGGTCTGATTTCTCTTTGCTAAAATCTATATTAACAATGCAAATTGTTTTGCAGTTGGTTGGATTTTTTGTTGTTGTTGTTATATATTCTTTCTACAAAATAAAGTTAAGCATCTCTAAGGGATATTTAAAAAAAAAAAAAGAAGAGGTTTAAAGAATGGTAATAGCAAAAATTATTCAGGATGTTAATTTGGCAGTTTCTACTGATCTCTGTTCATAGCCTTCTTTGAGACATATCAGTGAGAGTGAAGTTGCAAATGGCTTTTTGAGTGAGAAGTTTGGGGGCCAAGAAAAAATGAAAGTCAGAAGTACCTGACCAGAGGTTTTTCTCTCACAGCACAACACATCCACAGCATGCCATTTCCAGGATTAGGATAACCTGGAGATGCAGTTATTACTGAGCTGCTGGTGCCAACCTTAATGTGAAAAAAACCTGAAAGCAGCGCTTGGATTGTAGCCTTGGGATTTATCCCCATATGGGAGATCCTCTGAAATGGATTCTCAATGAAGACATTAAACAACCACCATTGAAGGCAGATTATCAGGCCAACATGGTTTTGGTACAAGGCTGCTTCTCATTTAATAGTCAGTAAAAACAAAACAAAAAAACCCCACACTTTCCCTACGCAGTGGGGAATTTTTATAGGATAAAATGGCAGTTAAGACTCCTCCTTTCCTACCAGCCTCCATGCAATTCATCAACAGAAACTGGGAGAGCTCTTGGAGGGGAAGGACAAGAATAATTTGGTTTTCCTGGACCCTTTGTACTGGCTGTCCGAATAATCATGACATACTCCCTTTGCTTTCAGAAAGAAAGACTGGTTGCCTTCAGTGAGCAGACCCAGACCTTTCTGACCTGTTGAATTACCCCTTCAGATAATGCTGCTTTTCTCAGAGAATCACAAAATGGTTTGGGTTGGAAGGGGCCCTAAAGATCATCTCATTCCAACCCCCTGCCATGGGCAGAGCCACCTATTCCCTCCCAGATCGTACTGGTAAACATAATGAGAACAGAAAAGTTGCAGGCATTATTATGCTCTGCAATCAGAGCTTTCTGACTTAGATATTTTCTTTGTTCTCATGAATCTGTTTTTCTCAAAAACAAACTCCTCCTTTTTCTTTGTTTGTGACCATTTGTCAAGTGTCTCTCTCAACACAGAAGCCACTGGGCAAGAATCCTACCTGTGCAAAAGCTTCTAATAAAATTCTAATTCTTAAGATCACAAATTAGGCAGTGGGGCTGAAAAATTGCAGTATAAAAGAAAGGTCAGGCACAGCTTTGTATACCCTGAAAATAAGTGGGAAACCAGCACTAAGAGGGCAGACAGTGTGGATCCCTCACAGTTACAAACAGACACACACATATATTTCCTAGTTGTCAGTTTTCCCACCTGCTTCTTTCAAGATGAGAAATATATCTCCTCATCAGCCTCCAGTTAAGCCACTGGGAGAAGAGTCAGTGCCCAAGACACTTCTGAACTTTATCTAACATCATTTTTTCCTGATGCACTACCATAGGTCTCATGCTTGATTTCCAAGCCCCATTGTGCTTCATCCCCCCAGGCAGTGCAGTCTTACTCATCATAAATACAGATTTCTCTTTGAACTACAAAAGCAAAAGAGGGTTTCCACATTTTTAGGTGATATATCTTTGTTAACCAAACCTAATAAACCCCTCAGTTATTTACCTAACAGCTATTTCAACACGTGGCAAAGACCTGGCAGATTAACTCTTAAATTAAAGTGGGGTTTTTTTCAACTTGTACACCTGAAATTTAAACTATGACCACAAACACTTTTAAGCAGGCACACACTTGGTGTAGTGTTCTGTGCATGACGTTAGAAAGAGGATGCAAGTTCTACCTTTGTTTTACTGCATGGCAACAATGAACAAGGATTGGGAGAAAAAGTCAGTAGAAAAGTAGAAAACAAAATATTAGAAGATTAAATTTATTCCTCTTAATCCAAAGAACACCATCAGATATGTCTCATATATCCAAACATCAAAGACTGGGAACTCGAGAGGATATCTAACTAACAAAAGTGAGTATGGAATGATGAAGTAATTTATATATCTCAGATACATTTAATCTTGTAAAACAGAGTGGAAAAACTGAAGGGATTGGGACTAATAAAAGAGAAAAAGTGAAAATATACATGTATTGTAACCATCAGTCTGAATAATGATAGAAAAAGATTCTTTTTTTTTTTTGTATAGTGCCTCTGAAAGCAACTGGGGTGTGTTTATACCACAATCTCTCAATAAACTGATATTGCTAAACTTGTCTTAACTCCAAAGCAATACATTTTCATTATGTTCCTACATAAAACAAAGCAGTTACTTATTTTTATAAAAATTATGTGGTGAATCCACACTAACTCCATATCACATCTTCACTGCCACTGTATGTACAGAACATTTCTTTAAGAGCTAACCAAAAAATTCAGCTATATCAGGAATTTCTTAGAATGGGTTATTGTCCAGCTGCATTTCTAACCCTATCTAGTCATCAGCACCCGACAGGGTAGTTTGTTTTACACTTTAAGTTTTAAAAAATATTTATTGTAATTTGATTTTGTCAGAACAGGATTTGTGTCTGGCGTGGATTTGGTGATGGTTTCGCTACTCCAGGATCAATCCAATATTAAATTTTCATCTTCGGACACTCTGGAAAGAGATCAACAAGACTTCATGAAGACACAGGGGGATTCAATATCCCCAGTTCAGCAAAGTGTGAGTAAGCTGGCCCAGACCTGTTCTCTTTCTTCAAAGTTCAAATACAATATTCAGCTATTTCTGTACTAAATCTCACCAAACTTACTGGTAACAAAGCAAACACTGAAAGTTTTATTCTTGAAGAGTAAAAACCTGAGTTATCCTCCTTAGCTTATCTTAAGCTCCATGCTAAATTTCTTATTCAATTGCTTAAAACCTCTATTTCTTTAAAAACAAAACAGAGAATCTATCTATCCAACTTCTAATCCTGGAAAAATGCTATATTTAAAGTTAATTCTCATTCTGTTTCTAAAATAAATAAATAAATAAAAGGCAGACAAAGAGACATCAGGGCCTTTTTGTCTCCTCCCTGCCTGTAAAGGATGACTTCAAGGACTTCACAATCCCTTGGGAGTTTTTTAGAATAACATGATCTCTGTCCTGTTGCCTGTATATTCATCATGTCTCATAACAAAAGTACAGCTGAGAGTACTGTTTCTCATCAGGCAACAGCAAAATAACCATTGTCATCCTTTTATTACAAAAATTCCAAGTGGAGAATTGACAGCCCTGCCATTCATACAGCTTAATGGAACTAAATATAAAGAGGAATTTTTTAATTCTAATCTAAGAAAAGATATCATAAGCATGTGTATTAGGAATGAAAAGGAGAGCAAGGAAGGAAGAATTAAGAAGTCATAAACTAAGCAAGTTTGTGTTCATGTGAGAAGCTAAAAGTGCCATGAGGCCAGATTTGCTTTCTGCGGGGATCCATGAGAGAACAAAACATCAATGGCTTTAACACACATGAAAATGACTGGAAAAGCTGGGCCATGTTCCACTGCAGAAACCACTGAATTTGTGCTGACTTCCCTGTGGGACTTCTTGAAAGCTGATTATTCCATAAAGGCATATATTCCTTAAGCTGTTCTAAAACACTGTAAAACCAAATTGGATTTGGAGGGGTGAAGGAGCAAAGGGAGCACTCAATAACCTGGTCTGAGTTTTTTTGTAACACGGAACATTCCATTTCCCCCTTCCCTGAACACAACAACCTGCTCTTGACTGACGCACGTCTTCTCAAAGGCATCCAAGGAGTTACTCATCCTTGGTGTCAGGGCAAATATGCATATTTTCAGTGTCAGGATCCAGACACCAGTTCTTGTTAAGCCTTTCTCCTTTAGATTAAAGAGCACTTCAGTAGCTGTTATTTTCTTTTTGCTAAAGTGCAAAAGGGAGGGGAGGAGATGAGACAGGCAGAAGGTTAAAATGTCTGCCCAGAGCCTACTTGTCTCTTAGAATGAGTGTGGCCACCTTAATGAAGGGAAGTGATGTAACCACCAACCTATCTGGCAGTGTGTAACACCACCAGAGTATGAGATCAAGCTTATTTGACTAAACTTGCATACAACAAGACTTGCACTTATCACATTCCTGTCATTTAATCTTTCATCACTTGATCATGCATCATTTTTCTCTGGAATTGTCAGACCAACTAGTCAATGGCTACCTAAGACACCCTGTTTTTCAAGGATAGTTCAGTTTTCTCTTAGAACACCAGAACGGTTTCGTTGGAAAAGACCTTAATGATTATCCAACCCCCTGCCGTGGGCTGGGATGCCACCCACTAGACTGGGCTGATCAAAGGCCAATCCAACCTGGCCTTACTTTTCTTAATTAATTGTTGAACAGCTTTGGATACCAAACAATCAGAAAACCCTTTAGATCTTTCAGGGCTTCTCTGCATGAAGGTGACTAGAACTAATAATATTATACTTATCCATGATGCATTCTTAATATAATTAAAATATTTACATTTTATAAAAATATATAAAGTAAATTATGAAAATAATAAAAATTTGTTCACATGAATCCTAAATAAATAAATGCCAATATTTCATTGCAGGATAATCTCAGTTACAGCTGCCAACCATATGAGTCAGACGTCAGGACAGAAAGGAAGAGCTCAGAGTCTTCTCACAGCCCCAGCCCTGCTTCCCCAGCCCAGGATCAAATTCATGGGAGATACCCTACAAACCAAGGAATTCACTGCGGCAAGAACAAATTCAAAGCATCTTTCAGTACTGAAAAATTCAGGAGATACAGTTACGAGGAAAACACTGTAGGAAGCTACGACCGGTTCCTCAAGAGCAGCAGGAACCCCTTCCACCCTTACAAGAGGCAGATCAGCGAAGATGTTTTCCAGGAAGCACACCAAGCCCTCCCATCAGAAGCTTCACCTTTTAAAAATCATAGAAGCATCGATGGTTTTGAGGGTCTATCAGGATCTACAGGTCCTGACGAGTCAGAGTCATTTCCCACGCACATCCCAGACATCTCCACGGAGCAACCATGGTGTAACAGCCTCCAGTACAGCACCACGGGTCAGGATCACAGCTCTCAAGTCATGGTCAGTATTTTTTTATATTTCTTTTTCCTGTTTTCAATGACAAAAATATACCTTTCAAATTATTATCTTAACATTACTACGTGGACGTTTAGTCTCCTGTCAAGTTGTAGGCTAGAGCTCAGGAAAAACATATTTAGACATATCCATATTCATTTGTCCAAGTCTCTAATTTAAGGCCTTTCCCTACTGGAAAATAATCCTCAGAAAGATGTACAAGGTCAAATGATTTTCCATTAGACATGATACACGAATCCTAAATATCCCAAGTTCTTCCTGACAACAGTAGTTGTCATCAGCTAGTATTTTCATGATACAAAAGTTCACAAAACAGTATTTCTCAAGCATGAGGACGTATATCAGATTTGTTACAACCCCTCAGCAGACCTACACTTTTCTTGGTGCAAATAGAGAAATTCTGAATTATCAGTGCTATCAACATTTAAATATCAGACCTATTTATGGTATGTGAAGTGCTAAGTTACCGAATTCCAATACAAGATAGAGGCAAGAGTCTATTTAGGGCAGCAGAGATCCCTGAAAAGCAAATTCAATTACCCTCCAGTATCTCCACAGTACCTCTGCTGTGATTCAAGGTGTAAAGTGTATCTTCATCATCTAATGCAGCCAAAAACAATGACTCCACCTGCCAGGAGAGGGCCCTAAGCTGGTTCTAAATGGCTGTGAGACGAAGAATTTCAGGGCTCCCAAAAGAAAAAAGGATTAAAGAAAAAAATTCTTAATTGGATTAAGACCAGGGAATGGAGAGATGTTGTCAGGGAACATACCTGGGGATTGAAGCCATTCAGGTTAAGGAGGAAATTGATCTAAATCTCTTATTTCCTGGATAAACACTCATCTAGGTCAGAGCAGTTTAATGCAAAACCTGTGAGCAGTTGATGAAAAAAAATTCCTATTGTCTTCCCAAATCCCTGGGCTGCAAGATGTGCAAAATGTAAAGGCAGCTCTGCAGGAGCCCTTTACAAGTACGTGTAACTACTCAGGAGCAGAGTGGCTGCTTGTCAGTGTCTCCCATGGTTCTGTCAGCAAGAGATATCAAACTCCTAAATCACTTCCACACTTCTGGCAAGCTGGGATTTCTGTAAATCTTATCTGATTGTCACCAAAATAACACAGACATTTATTAATACTGGATGTGGCATTTGCTTGGAGTCAGGATATCAAGTGAAATCTAACACGTGCTCCTACTAATATACCATAAAAATACTAATAATAAAAATATTTAGTAGACATACTAAAAAATTTATGTACTTATTAACATATATTAGACATACTAAAATACAATAAAAGCTGATCATTATGGCCTTGCTTTAAAGCAGAAGGATAAGTGCTACTAGGTTCTTGAAACAGTAAGATTCTTACTCTATTCCTACACATTCCCTGCATCTCAATCTATAAACACAGACTGATGTTTTCTGAATTGCTCTTCGAATTGAACATGACCTGGGATTTCCTTTTTTAAAGTTGTAATTATAGAAATGCAGGAATTGGTTAAGGTCTTCATAGAATCACAGAAATGTTTTGGTTGGAAGGGACCTTAAAGATCATCTTGTTCCAAACCCCAGCCCTGGCCAGGGACAACTTCCACTAGTCCAGGTTGCTCCAAACCCCATCCAACCTGGCCTTGAACACTTTCAAGGGGGGTCACCCCTTATTTTGTACCATTGGAATATAAAACAACTTCTCTGTAACACTTACTGTGACAGAATGAAGTCCAAAAATGTCAATATAATGAAGGCAAATCCGAACAGTGACTAACAGAATTATTCTATTTTAAATTAAGGTGTTTTCTCTAATTACTCATTTCTTAAATATTTTCCAGCAGGATTCAGACATGAAGCTTAGGACATCCCCACTGGAAGGGCAGCCTGGTTTGTACTGCTACCAGCCTCAAGTGCAGCAGATGTATTGCCCCTCACACCCTTTCCATCAGGTCAGTGTAATATGTGCACCAAAATCCCTATATTTCCAGCACTCTAATGGTACAATAGTTTTGGTATTAATATAAAAAAAAGATTAAACAATACCTTTAAATTTGTAGGGTTTCAGGGCCATGTTTATATATACACGTTTATGAGAATAAGATCTTAAAAGAACCACAGCTAAATGCATTTTAAAATGGTCATTCAGAAAAACAAAAAAAAGAATGTATAAACAATCTTGGTACTCCATATTTATATTTTCACCATTATGCTCAAAAAAACATGTTTTGAAGCCTGATAAATTATTCACATAACTGCTGGCATTTCAGGATCCCAGGGAATTAACTGTGCTTTAACTTCAGAATAAAAAACTAAATATATGTGACTGTACACTTAAAATTCAGATCAAACATAGGAAAACACTTTAAAGTAAAATTTGAACAGCAAAATGATGTTCACTCCCCTTGTGCTTGATGGCACACACATCTCTTTCACAATCTTTTGCCTCTTACATCATCCTCAGTGAAAGATTATTCAGCTGAAGCATAATTGACAGTAATGCTGATGATGCAGGAGAGTGTGCAATATTAAGGTTGTTCTTCTGCATGTAACTATATTATTAGCACTAAAAATAATTTCCTTTAGATATAAACGGTGGTGCTGTTCAATGCTTTGAATTTTTCCTCTTTTATGTTCAATTACTTGCAACTTTTAAAATTTTCAGTAATTTTTTCAGTAGTGTTTATTTCAAGATAAAAATATGCTTGAAACACCCTATTTAAAACAAGAAAAAAAAAAAAAAGAAAGCCCAAAACTTGAGGTGAAATTAAGGTAACAAGGATTTTTCAGACTTATAGGGAGAAATCCTTATATAAAAACAGCACAAATCTGAAACATTAAACCATTAGAGCTTACAGGAAAGTCATATATATAAACTATTTTAGGATAAAAGCTCATACTTGAGCTACATCTCCTTTGATCTCAGTGACTGATGACAGATATTGTGGCATCAGCTCTACCATCTCATTCAACTTGCTCAAGAAGTATAAAAAATATGACTGACAGAGCAGTGATTTACACTGGGCAAAGAAAACAAAACCGAGGTTACTGTGATATTTCATTAGGGTTGTTAATTTGTATGGTGTTACATGTCTGAGTCATTGAAACAGTCATTACTCCTGGCTTTTTTCTTTTACCTACCACATTGACATTCCTCTAGCCAGAATTTACTGAACCTTATTGCTCACAATCAAGTGGCAAAAAGGCAACTATCTTTAAATTCTTATTTACACCACCATAATTAATTTACTTGTGTTTTTTTTCTTGTTAGCCCAAAACTCAATAGAAGTGATAAAAGGTAATAATAAAATTAAAATAGAACAAAAGAAAAGGTGATGGTACACTACCATCCTAACTTAGAAATCCAGTTATTTGCTTATTGTTATTTTAGAAGAAAATTGTCCCAGATGAAGGATTAACTTGCCAAAGAAAGCCCTGCTTCAAAGATAAACTATTCCCCATTGGGTTGCAGGACAGACATTGTGGATATGCCACAGCACCCTACACCTCACTCACCATATAAATGCCATTTCTGTGTGCTGCTTTAGCAGAAACTCCACTTAGCTTGTTAATTCATTGAATAGTTTTGATTTCTTTATTCATTCTGAGGCAGGCACCCTTCCCCTGTCCCCTCTGATGTGATACCGGTGCTATTACTATACATTGGCACTAACCACATTCAAAAAACCTCCAAAATTAAAGCTGAAATACACCTCCACCAGGCAAGATACGACAGGCACTAAGAGGAAAGTCTTCCATCCACCTGCAAGCTGGCACCGTGACAGATCTCTTTACGTGCAGCAGGTTTCTGTTGGACTTTCCAATACTTGTGCTTCTGAATGTTACTATGGTAAAAGTCTGGCAATGTGTTCTACTACTCAGAGGAAAAAAAAAAAAAAACAAAACCAAAACAATAAGTATAAGCAGCCAAAGTCTCAACAGGTAGAATTGCTGTCCCTGTGCCACAATCAGATACTGGAAAATGGATGAACGTGGGATATACAAGACTGAGAAGGAGTGGAATAACATCTTCTGCATGAAGCAGCTCCGTGATTAATGCTTTACATTTCAAGTTGGAATGGAGCAGTGCAAGTTAAAGCACCATGGAAGTTACACTCCAGAGAACGGGCCCTTTAGCCTGAAGTGAAGGATGTTCAAACTACGCCTCGGTTTTCATTAGAGGGATGAGAGAGATCAACCCCTTCATTAATTTTGTCCAAATGATAAAACGGCCTCACCTTCCCCTTTGCTGGACACAACACAAGTGATGAATCATGAGAGGAATTACTTATTATTGACCCGAATGAAGTAGCAGACACTGACTGGAGTCACTCACCCACCCACCATAAAACACGGACACCTTTCATGCCAGTTGTGCGACTGTAAAACCAGCTCGAGCCTGTCATTCCAGACCATTCCCCAGCCTCTGCTCCCTCAAAAAGGACTAATGAAACCAATAAAACAGAAATAATCCCTAAAACACCCCGGTCTTGCCTTTCATGATGACATCAAATACCAGTCACATCTTAGTATTCTTTCCTTTCAAAGAGCCACCAAAACCAATAAAGTCAGAATTATTGTAGGAATTGCCCAGTTTTCTGCTCTGGTGAAAAATCTACACCCAACACACAAAGCAGGAAGCACAGAACTGCACATGGAAATTAGTTCACAGGTGCTCTGGAGACTCTATTTTTGCCTAATATTTAGTTCAAAAATATTAATTAATTATGTTCATTTCATTTCTTTCACCATGTAAACAACTGAGTATATTCAGTCTAGCTTTCCACATTCCATTTCAGGCAGTTCAGTGTTAGAAAGATAAAAGCAAATAGGCAGTAAAACTCCAGTAATGAGAATAAAATTACAGAGAAACTTAAATAAATTATTAAAAATCCAGAATAAGTAAATAAACTGTGAATATTTTGCAAGCACATGACAACCTCTCAAGCATGTTTTAAGGGGACAAAGACCAAGAGCAAATGAAGCTTTTTTTTTTATCCAAAAAAAGGGATTACAATAAGAAACTAAGGAGGTGCATAAATTAATTAAAAAGGGATTTTTCCCAACAAGTCTCAAGAGCTACATTATAATTTTTCAGAGGAACCACACAAACCTCATGACACAGAACTGCTGGAGCTGAGCAGTAAAACACCAGAAAAGGGCTCAGCAACCTTTGAGCACCAGGGCAGGCATGCAGGTAGATTTTCCAGTAGCATGTGACATGACTCCTAATTTTGGCCATGCCCTCACCCTGGTATCTGGAAAGGTTCATCTGTAAGAGTCAGAAATTCCCCTCACATGGAGCTCTGAGTCCAGCAGGAGCTTTTGCCTCCCAGAGAGCCAACTGATGCTATCTTACCTGAGCAGGGTAGTGTTCCTTTGTTCTTGAAAGTCTCTTACCAGCAGACTTCTTAAGCTGTAACTTGGAAAAGAAAAATACGGAATATTTGGCAAAGAAAAAGACCAACTGATGTGTTAAAAAGTTGAGAGCAAGTCTACAGAAACTGTGGTACAATCCAGGTTATCTATGTGGATTATTTCCACTCTCTCACCTACTTTTTGGCATTGGCATATATCTATCCCATCTCTTTAGTATGTCTTGGGAGGTGGACAAGCTGAGAGATCTCCTTAAGAGATAGGTCAGCACCTCAGTAGCTTCTGCTCCTGGTCCCCAGGAGGGATGAGGGTGGCATAAATAATGCCTGATTTTAGGGGTCCTGGCTATTCTCTTTAGCTTTCTGATGCAGAAAATGAGGGGGGGGAAAAAAAGAGTCACTTGAGGTGGTGGTGAAGAGCACACAAACTCCTGGCCTCTTGGAGATGCCTGTTCCTTGGCATTAACTGTGAGGGTACAGACAGGGAGTAGCCCAACAGCTTCAGCATGAGACAGGCAACATGAAACCACCTCAAAAATGTCTCACATGCTGCTCTCCTGACCCCTGGAATGATCTTACTAACTTATTCCATAATAATACACTCATTTTTTATATATTCTGATGCATCCACTAAAGTTTTCATTGTTGTTTGCCAGGTTTATCCCTGCCTTGCATAATAACAGCAATTTTAACAGAGATTTTGGGATGCTACTCCCTTGGGATTAGATATTATACACTTCAGATTTTTACCTTGCTGTATCCCTCTCCACCTAAAAAATAAAACAAAGATAAAATAGCACAAAAAATCAAACAAGGCTCAGTCAAAACTGCAATGTTTCTTCCTATATTTTTAGCAGCTTTACTTGATGGGCTCATTTTTCCATATTGCACATTGTTTGAAGTATTTTATTCCGGTGGTTTTGGGGTTTTTTATGTAAATAAGTTTACACCATTAATTTACTTGTCTGCATGTTCAGGGGAGGCTGAGCAGACTGAGATACTTCAACTTCAAAAGAGATGGTTGAAAGGAGACGTGCTTTAGATCCATAAAATTAAGAGTTATCTGGAGACAATTAATAGGGTACAGTTCCTCACATTTTTCACAAGAACTCAGTAGCATGACAGGCAATAAAGAATAAAGTACTTTTTTTTCCCCACGCAATATCCTCAGAAATACATTGTTTAATACTGTTATCAGGAAATATTTTTGGGAGCTTGTTGCTAAGCCAAATAACATCTCTCTTGTCCCATCAGTATCCCTCAGGAGGCAGCTACCCTGTGACTTACATTGCTTCTTCACACTACCCTTACCAAAGAATCGCTCCTCAGAGCAGTCAAGAATCCCAGCAGCCTCTGTTTCCCAAGCCCATCTACTCCTACAGGTAATACAATATTTCTTCAAGCCCTAATGTTACAGGAAATACACTGTTTACCCATGGCCTGGTTCCAGCATCATTTGCAATAACACGCTTACTCTTATTTGTCTTGTTCCCGGTGTGTTCTGTCCTGTTCGTACAAATCAAGATATTCCAGGCTCTGGGGCCAAGGCACAGAGAAATTAAATGTTACAAAGCATTGTCTTGATCACCCCCCCCCCTCAAAAAAAAAAGCACTAAATGTTTCTTTAATACAAAATTTTACAAATGCCATCAGCACAAGACTGATCCCACTTAGTTGCCCTTCCCAGCACCTGTATTAAAACTACTTTTTTCCAGTTGCTAAGGCAAGGAAATGCCTAGAAAACATAACAGATATGTCAGTCACCACACAGTTTTGGACCCCAAATAATCTAACAAAGTAGATCAGACAATTAAATTTTAATTACTCATCTGTCACTGTCAGTTTGAGACTCTTTGTGGCCTTCACCAGTTTAAGCTTTCAGACACACCTTAGATAAATACCCACCAGCAGGATTTGAAGGTCTTGATTTCACTTTCTATATTACTTTATTTGAAACTCAGGTTAGAACTTCTATGTGAGCTTTAGAATTACCTGTAGGAGTTACATAGTGTAAGGATATTGTTATAAGCAACTGAGTGGAAATTTTAAGCATCACTGTACTTGTGCTACGGCAGTGAAAGTCACAGTAATTACACACAATTTGGAAAATAGTCTATTTTTGGTTCTGAGGAGTCAAGCAGAAGAGGCTAAAATGCTTTTCTTTCTCTCCCTAAAGCATCCTGATCTTCATGGCTCTCAAAAACAGCAAGACAGGGAGTTTGCCAGTCAGTGAGATTTACAATTTCATGACGGAACACTTTCCTTACTTTAAGGTGAGTTCCACTGGGAGGGGGGAGAATCTCCCTCTAAGCTTACCTGTCAGCAGAGGGAGTAAGGGATGGGATTCCAGCTATGAAAAGGGATAATTTCTTAGGAGGTTAATATCAAATGAATTACACACTGTATACATTCATGACCACAAACTACCCAGCATTTTACATGCAGGAAGAAATGTGGTAATATTTAACTCAAAAAGATATTAAGAACTGTTCCAGCTGTGAGTCTGGGTGTATAACAGTGGCCATTCCTCACTAACAACTCATAAAAAGGGTGAATAATTTTCAAAACACATTCACTCCTTCCTCTCAGATCTCAAATACAGGCAGAACTGGTCTTGTAGCTTCCTCTGCCATCAGCAGCACCTCCAGACTGGTGTGGAAGCAGAGGTTCCAGGTTATCTCACTGCATTCTGGAGCTGGGATATCCATCTTGGGCAACAGCATCACTTGCATGCCCTGTACCAAGAAAAGTCTAATATATGATAAATGGTACTAAGCTCATAATTACACCATGACGTTGGTGACGGGAAGGGTGTATGGTTTGCAGCAGCACTATTGAAATTTAAATCCATGCTATAAGGGAATGGTTCCTTGGGCTTGGAATGCGAGTGGAAAGTGCTCAGTCAGCAAATGATCCAAGAGCAGGAGGATTAGTTGAGATTTTTAAAAGAGCTGTAATGGAATCGTCACCTGCTGATCTACATGGAGCTTTATTTCTGCTGATTCTTCAAAACCGTCTCGCTGAAGTCCAGAGCAGGTGACCTCAGCTGTTAGCAAGGCCCAAAAATTAAAATAAAGCAAGTGAGTCTGTCCTGTTTCCTCTTGTAAATAGCCCTGCAGCAATTCAACCAAATTTGAAACAGCTAAAGCAAGGCAATTCAAACACTTATAATAAGAACACTGAGAATAGCTAAAAGTAAATGTTCTGATACAATTTTGCAATGCTTTTGGGCACTAACTGAGGATAAATTTTTTGCACAAAAAAAAAAATAATAAGGTTGAATCTGTCAGTAAGCAGAGAAAAATACACATTATGATGGAGGAAGAACTGTCAGGATCCATCATACTTCTGTAGTCCCAGATTTCCTCACAAAAGAATCACTAATTACTCCATCATTTGTTACAAGCAAAAGAAGGGAGAAAATATAAAGATGCCTAGCATCATAAATCAGAAGTACTCAATCCCAATGGAATCCACAGAAAAACAGCAAGAGTTTCAAGCAGAGAGAGAGATGGGAATGTTATTAATAATTTTTACAGGCATGTTCATGTTTATTCATCAGACCAAACTGAAATTAATTCTCCGTTGTCTTACAACATAATTGATTATAAAAGTTAATCAGCAGCTTCAAGCAAAATGCTGCTGCTGCTGCTGCCAACATGGACAGAATCCTTCAGACTCAGGACTGTGGCTCTGCCAGGTGTCACCATCCTGGTCCTTCGTGGTTTTTCAGAGCTTCCTGTCTTTTTCTTAATTCATTTTAAAGTAGATGAGAACGAGGTTGCTGTTGTCATATGGATTACAGGGAAAGAATAGTGCAGGGGGTACTACTTGGTACAGGGGGTACAAAGGGAACATTCACTATTTTGTGACAGTTTTATTTTTGCATTTTACTTACAAATACAGTCAAAAGTATTTGACTGTAACATCCTTAAAATGACCAAGGGAGAATAAGAAATCAAATATTACACCTACAGGCATTAAGTCCTGTCTACCTCTGGCCTTTACAGTAGCCCACAGAATTATGGCAAAAACTAATACCCTCGATCGTCCTTTTTTTTTTCTGGAGAGTCTTCAGCAAGATAAAATAATATAAAGACCAGCAAAGAACATTTTGTTGTTGCTACCAGCACTCACTAACTAGCAGGATACAACAGGGAGAGGGGAAGCAATTTAAGTTGGAGAGAAAGAGAGTGCAAGTGCACACAGAATCTTGCTGGGAGACATTAGATGATACAAGCCGAGTCAAATTAACTTGTATTCGCTGCCGCAGCAAATTTAGTTTCTATGATGCAACAATTTCATTTCTAGTTGAAACAGAGCAATCCAACTCCTACGTCCTAAAAAAAACATCTACACAGCTAAAGTTGAATTACTCTTTGATGTACCTCTCCCTTCTCTTGAGACCTAGATTTAAAGAGAAAGGGTTTTGCAAGATCACTGAACTCTTTAAACTTCAAGAGCTGGTCAGGATCCATGGGGCTGGACAAAAACATTTTTTTGTCATCTTTTTCTTTGTAGTGATTAGTGGGTCTAAAAGAAAGCTTTAATCTTGTTAATTGGAATTAGTGCCATTGGTCCAAGAGACCAGAAAGGTCTGTGGTCTGATGGAACCTAGAGCAGCAAGTATTCAAGCATTGCAGATGTGGCACTTGGGAACCTGGGTTAGTGGTAGCCTTGGCAGTGTTGGACTCAATAATCTCAGGGGGCTTTTCTAACCTTAGTGATTCTGTGATCCTATGATTTATGATTCTACAGCTTCGTCTACACTATGCTGAAACGCAGCAACATCAAAACCAAGCCACAGCAAGGAGATTCCAACTACACAAGAGCAACTTCAGTAACCAAAACTCCCTCACGAACAATCACGTTCACTTAAAAAAACAGTGTCAGAGTCATAGCACAAACACACTGAGTGTTCCTTCAAGCCTTGCCTGGATAAACTTTTTGCAGGTCAGCAATGCCAAGTTTAATGCAAGAACCTGTTGGGCTCCTGGGAGCAGCCTCCAAAAATCAATCCATGTACTTTTTGCTCTTACGTTTCTAAAACCATCTCACAGTTTACACCCCCACATGTTCTGAAAACCTCTGAGAAACCCATGCCGCTCCCATCTTAGCAGAAACACTAATTATCCTGTCTAGATACAGACAGAGGTGTGTGTAGCCTCGTGTGCAGGGCAAGAAACATGAATATTCTTTCAGGTCAGCTTATTCAGTAGCTAAACACACAACTTACCTGGGAGGAACAGTTCTATTCACTTTTGGAATTGCCAGAAAGCAACTTGAATGTGACCTGCAAGGGAGAAAAACTGATTCATCATGTTTAGTATGACCCTATGGCAGAAAGGGGTTTAAAGGGTTTGAGTTTGTTTTCTTTTTTTTTTAATACAATTTATGTTGTCTCACCTGTGAGACAGAATAGTGAAATGCTGACATCAGGTGGGCCAAAAGGGTAGAAACTGTGCAGCTATGAAAGGAGAATAGTTTCTCTTTTAGTAAATGACACATATTTAATTCCACACCTTTTTTTTTTAATGAAGAAATCAGTATTAAATTTGACCCTCAGCCCTTCAATAAGGTTTTTAATGCCTTAACTTACATGATAGTTCTTTACAAGCTACAAAAGAACAGACTTTACATTCCTGATAAAAGTAGATATGAAAATAAAATTCTGATAAAAGGATTTCTATCAAAGTGTGTTCAAAAGTTCACAGTGTGTCATGTGAAAGCAAAAATAGACAGAACTCCATTTATAAAAGATAGTCTTAGAAGAAGTTTCTTGTACTAGGCAACAATTAAAGAGACTATCAAACTATCCAAAATCTGACTTTCTATGCAAGATGGATGCCTACTAATAAAGCATAAGAATGCACAGAAAATTTAATACACATAAAAGGAGAATTTTAATTTTTAACATTTTAAAAAATACTATGGAAACCCATATTTATTTCTTGTGCTCTCTGTTCAATAATTCTCTGGTTGATATAAACAGTTACAATGACAAATATTTTGCGCCCATGAATATGAATCAATAGACAAAGACAACTTCACCCACCTTTCAGAGAGTTGTTTAATTTCTTTCAATTCTTATGACACAGAGATGAGGATTTTTTTTTCAAAACAAGAAAATAATCATTTTAATGATTCAGTTTAAAGACCCTCCCAGTTGCCACTGCTGAGTTAAAAATAAATGCAAAGCACAGAGATGCAGTGATCAGATGTGTAAACCTGTATCTCGTCTGTAGGGCTTGTGATTAAACCATTTGGTTATGTAATTGGCCAGCACACAAAGTTACACCTACAGGAGCATGATAAATTCTTTTGAAGTCTGCCTGGACACTGAATTCGAGCCCAGGTAGCACGTAGTGCTTTAGTTAAATGTTTGAAATATTTCTCGGTGTTCCAAAACAGATTCCAATAGAAATCCTGTTAGCTCACAGCTCTAGAATATAACCCTTTAGACACTTAATTCCTGTGATTTTCAAATTCACTCTTAAAAATCCAGCAGGCCTCTGACAACCTTTTTGCTCAGAAGATCAGTTACTGTTCTATCTGATCCCTCTCTTCCCACACAACATGACGGTAACATTTTTGTGGCTTCCTTCTAACATACGAGTTTCTCATGGCAGAAGATACAAACTTAACAGCATTTCTTACCACCTCACCAGTCAAAACAGAGATATACATATTTGTTTTTCTTTATTTGTCCTTGAAGGCCCATTCTTACACTGGATTTGTTTCTCCAGACAGCTCCAGACGGCTGGAAGAATTCTGTGCGCCACAACTTATCTTTGAACAAGTGCTTTGAGAAAGTTGAAAACAAGTCAGGCAATTCCTCTCGGAAAGGCTGTTTGTGGGCTTTGAATCCAGCCAAGATTGATAAGATGCAGGAGGAGCTACAGAAATGGAAGAGGAAAGATCCAGTTGCTGTAAGGAAGAGTATGGCAAAGCCAGGTCAGTAATGTGTCACTTCTCAAGCAGTTCTGCTGAGAACTTTTCTTTGTAGCAGGCACCAAACTGTATAAGAGAATTAATACGTGACTTAGGAAAGCATTTAAGGATTTTTCCTGGTTATCAGGTGATTGGCAAAACAAGAAAACAAAAATTAGAAAGCAGAATTAAACAAGACCTGGTTTTGTAGATATTTCCAAATAAGCAAAGAAGTTTCACCAAGAAAATATTTTCTCTTGACATCTTACTAAACTTTAAGATAAAAGGCTGGATGGGGCTTGGAACAACTTGATCTAGTGAAAGGTGTCCCTGCCCATGGCAGGAGAATGAAATGAGATATCTTTAAGGTCCCTTCCAACTCAAACCATTCTATGATTCTATGACAAAAACAACACTGAAATAAGTACTATCAAATAAAATCTGAAATTAATTTATAAGTATCCAACCTTTAAACACAGAAATGGAATTTATTATACACTCACTTGGCAATGGTAATTTAGGAAAACATTTCAGCCTTTGGAGTTCTTATCATATATGTGAGCTAGTGCTTTTGTTTGCCAGCCTGAAGGACACTAAAATTCCTGCTGCACCCTACGAAGATCAAGGCTCTGTTAGGGATAAGTCAGTCATGGACTTTTTTCTTGTTTTCCAGAAGAACTTGACACCCTGATAGGCGACAAGAGTGAGAAGCTGAGATCTTCCCTCATGTCCTGCAGCCCGACGGGCGTTGCAGGTGCCTCACTTTCCAGGCAGATGGCAGCCCAATCCCATTCCTTATGCGAGCCCTCCCTCTCCTCCGGGATCCCACAGCCATTACACAGCATCCACGCCTCGGGAGCTCTGCATGCCAAGAACGCTTTACCCAATTTACTGGGAGGGCAGCAGCCTCCGTGCTACACATCCCCACAGGGCTTCCCCCAAATCCCAAATGCACTGATGCAGCAGACACCGGACGCTCAGAGCCTGTTTCCTTCTGGGGAGGCTCAAAGCGAGCTCCGAACTCAGCCCAGCATCACTCAGGACTCCCCGCTGCCAGCGCAGACCCCCCCAAATTGTGGGATGAAGATGCTGCCGGAGCATTCCACAGCCAGGACAGTGCAGGACACGCTCATGCCGGAGGGAGACCTCAGCAATGACATCGATGCTCTTAATCCATCCCTGACTGATTTTGATCTCCAAGGTTGGTATCTAAGGTATTTTTATCTTGTAGAGTCAGGTTTGTTACATCTCATCCCATCACCTCCCATCACATCCCAACCCATCACCTACCAACCCTTTGTGACCTTCTTTTTTAACTACTTTTTCTTGCCACTGCTACAAAAACCACCTTAACTAGGATACATTACATACACAACATGCAATATTGCATTAAATCTTTAAAAAGTTTCCCAAGAAAGCCACCTATTTACATCCAGAATTTAAAAAATATTCCTGCTTCATCTTGGCTACAATTCCCAATATTAAGTATTGCAGTACAGTATTTAGAATGTATTTTTTAAATTCAGATATATATTCCACTGGAAAGTACTCAAGCACAACTATTTAGTGCAATTCTTACAAGAGAATTGTCACATGAAGGGAAATAAGAGAAATAATGTTTATCAAATTAACAGGTTAACTTCCTTTTGTCAATATTTATTCAAACCCTTTCCACATCTCTGCTCCAACAAATGTTATTTCCCCCTTCCTGAGGCATCATATGACTTGTGCCCTGAACAATTATACTTCCTGAGGTGTGTTCTCATATACTTAATCATGTAATGCTGACAGTAATTTTTTATATATTAAATAATTGAATCATCTTGGCTGGATGGGATTTTGAACGTTAAGAACATAGTTTTTCATGCAAAACCAAGGAAAAAACCCACCATGTATTTTTATATATATATACACGCATTATATATGTGTGTAAATATATATGTAAATTTATAATGAATATATATACATTTATATATACACACATATATATAAATCAAATCCTGTGGGTTCCAAATTATAAAGCTCCTGTTGCACCAAATAACATGCCAGAATTTCCTTCCTGCACAAACAAAAAGCGGTTACATAAATCAACCTAAAAGACAGAGCAAAAAAAAATGTAGTTTTAATAATCTACATGACTCAGCGAATGCCAGTGCCATCCATTCCACTGTCACAAATATTTCCCAGTCCTGCCATGCCCAGATTGTTCTACTGAGATTAACAGCACACTCCACTCGTTTCCTGGGACCTCTTTCCATTTTATTCAATTAATCTGAAGCACATGCTCTGATAGTGTGAATATTCTTTGTGCTTCATCTGTATGGTACCACTCCACCTTCCCTCTGGCCTAGCCTTTTATCTTAAATTATTTAACCTTATCTATGCTTTTTACTTTCTTTCTTTATAAAATGATCAAATCTCTAATTAGAGGCCCTAAAACTTAAGATAAGGCCAGCACACTACTTCCAGTGAAAGGGCTAAGTATGATCCCATATCTTCCATATGTTATAGAGATGAGAGGCACTTTCCTTATCCAAAATCAATGTTTTTCTTTAAAAAATAGAAGTTATTCTTCATAAATATACATTTCTAACAGAATATTGCAAATTATCAGGTGAAATAATTTTCTTAAATGTATGCTGTTTTCTCCCAAATTTAAATTTGTTATGGAGACAGACAACCAAAAACTACCGAAACAACCTTTTTTCTTCCTCAGTCCCAAGGGATTAAGAGCACCTACACATAAAGCACACACAACTGTTTAATTACAAACTTCTCCTACAACACAACATTTAAAAAACTGAATATACAGAAATGTATACAGACATCATATGAAGAAACATGAATCATTCCATTAATCAACATGTTTTGTTTTGTTGTAGGGAATCTTTGGGAGGAGCTAAAAGATGACAGCCTTGCTGTGGATCCCCTTGTCCTCATTTCATCATCCCCAGTGTCTTCCCAGTGTTTCCCCTCTCACTGCCAGCTGGAGAACAGCAGCAACATCCCCATCCCAAACGGAACTCCACATGGAAACGTACCCGACCTCCAGCTCACCACCCTGTACTCTGCCTTTATGGAATTGGATACAGTGTCTCCTGCCTACCTAAGTAATCCTGGATCCAAACCTATAGCACTGATGTGAACCACGTGCCAACCTAGTTATTATTATTATTATTTTGTCGAAATCCAGTCCTAACCATCACACACTTCCCTATCTGATTGATGTCAGCTGAGACCGTGTCCATGGGAATAAGAATAATCTTTTTTCCAGAACTCGCCCGCAGGATATGTAGCTTTACTATAATAATTTTCTACAGACAGACACTAAAAAAAAATTTAAAATACTATTTAAAGATAATATTGTTAACAGCTGAACTTGGCAACACCATTTTATCAAGCCACTCATCTTCTGCATCTTCCAGAAACAAACGACTCTAAGAGGAAAACAAATTATTGACTTTTTTTTCCTTTTCTTTTTTTCTTTAATGAAAGCTGCTTGCAAATGAACACAGAACTCACAGCACACAACAATTTAACTTATTTCTTGGAGCCAATGACGGCAACATCATCCACCACAGACCACTCAAAATAAAAAAAATCTACATGTTAAAACAGTTATAGTCCCCTTGAAAGCAGTTCTGGGTTTTGGTAAACAAGAATGTGAACTGAAAATTCTGTAAGTATTAGAAGATAGAGGACAAGCTGCTGACAGACTAAACCAAAGCAACAAATATACTTCAGTGAAAAATATATAAGTTTTACTGTATTTAAAAAAGAAATTTTAAATTCTGCTTTTTTTTAATAAAAAAGAAAAAACTATTTAGTAGAATTTTTACTTGGCTGGAAATTGTTCCTATTCATTCTTCTTTCTTTCGCCTCATAAGCTGAACAGTAACATGAATTATTCAACCATTAAATGAAGATTTTTAAAAATGCTAATAAAAAAAGAGAGAACAATAATTGCTGCAGTTAGCCAAATCCAGAGAGCATCTCTAGTTTAACTTCCAGCTGCATCCAACATATCCAATGTGATTTATTACAATACTGAACCAGCTGAACCAGCCCTTGCATTAGGATAATGTCTACTTCCTACCATGAACTAAAGTAAGGCATTCCAGTAGCCAGTTTCTCAGGAACACTCTTCTCCCTCTGATTTTCCAAAGGTGCTACTTATGAAACAAAATAAACCGGTTTTAATTCAAGTGATGCAATCTAAACCCAAAGCGATCTGGAGCAGGAACCTTCTGAAGAAAACAGTCTAGAAGCCAAAAAAATATCAGTGTCTTGAATGGCAGGATTCCCAGAGAAGCTGTGGCTGCCCCATCCCTGGGGATGGGCTGGACAGGGCTTGGAGCAACCTGGCCTAGTGGAAGGTGGCCCTGCCCATGGCAAGGGGTGGAACGAGATGATTTTTAAGGTCCCTTCCAACCCAACCCATTCTGTGATTCCATGATCTCTAATCACAGACTATGTTAATTCAAACTGAAACAAGGAGGTCGAGATTTGGGTCAGATTGGGTCATTTACACTCTGGAAAAGCAGGGGAGGAATTACCAAGGACAGAACAGAGAGACGGGATTGCTAAAATATAGACATGCGGGTTTAATTAGCCGCTGTCCCACAGCAAGGTGGGAGCACTGCCCACCCAAACCAATGCCAAACCCAGGTCCAAATCTACACCCTCCTCTGTGCCTACTAGCCCAGACTTAAAATCAGATTAGGGGCAGACGGATGAAGACGACTTAGGAAGAGCACATGTGATGCAGCTTTGTAATCCCTCACGCAACTACCAAGAAATCCCCACTTGACTCGAGCTCCTCTTCCTTGGCCTCCTGCAAAGAGAACACACAGCTGAAGAAAAGCAGACAGGTTGGCCAAGCTGGTCCATGAAAAAAAAAAACCAAAAAACCAAAAACAGCAGGATGAGAGTTATGCAAACACACTAGAGCTGGGGAATCAGTTCTTGACCATCCTAACATTCAGGTAAAGAAATAAGGAAAAAATGAAGTATCCCATGTCAAAATAAATGTGAATATTAAGTGATAAACTTAAAGCACATAGTAAGTGTAAAGCTGCTAAACAGTATTTATATGTATATAAAACACTATGTATATATATAGTGTTTTATATATAGTATTATATACAATATATATGTGTATTATATACAGTATATATAAAATACTATATAACACAGTGAATATGTATATAACACTATATACAACAGAGTGTGTATATATAACATTATATTGACAACACATATATATACATACACACTGTGTTATATATATAGTATAATATATAATATATAATATATAGTATATTCAGCTTAATTTAAGGGTTACCAACTTAAAAATAAATACTTACCAAGTGCAAACTGTAAGAGGGATAATATTATCCTAGGTACCTTTTTTTTTTTTAAAAAAAAAGCATCAAATAAATATCCATCCTAATACAGGATGCCCTGTGCTCAGGCAGTGGTTTTGTACCCCTGTGGCCCTGCAGCACACAGCTACTATGATGCCTTAAAATATGTCAACATCGCCCTTAAGCCAAAAATAACAATAATAATAGGTAAATAACATTCTCTACAAATATTTGACTGTTCGCAGTAGATCTGGCTTGCACTGAGGGGTTGGTTTCATCAGCTCTGTGTGTTTTTTAAGCTCTGATTTCCTTAAACAGAAGGTCCCACTGGTGGACCAAGACCCCCCCAGAGCTGGGCAGGATCGCCCAGACCCTCTCAGACTCCTCAAACTCAGTTACACAACTTCAGCCAACAGCCATGCTGATGCCAGAGGGAATTCTGCACTCTACAACCTACACCCTCCAAGACTTTTCTGGATAAGACTGTCTCCATTTAGAAGCCTTTCACTGCAAACACAAACAGTTGTGACACAGATCAACATTTTCAGAACCCTGAGGGAGCGAGATGCTCAGTCCTCGATGACTTTCAATCACTATTTGCATCAAATTCTTGCTAAACCCTTTTTAAAGTCCTTATAGAAACCCATCCTGAGTAGCACACAATGAACCACACCATGGCCAATGTATAGAACAATACAGGCCTTTGCAAGATATTCCCATCAGAATTAACAACATTCCCAATGTTTTGTATTTGGCAGAGGGAGACAACAAGAAAACGCATGAGAACACACCAGACGAAGAGCATTGGGGTAGTTCATTGCTCCAGAAACATGGCAAAGTTGTAATAAAATATTTATGATTAAAGCAAATGCATGGCACATGAAAAAAATCCATCAAAACTGACAATATGAATCTGGACAACACGTTATCAAGCTGAGCTGCTAAAGGAATTCCAGACTTGCAGATTTTAAAGCAAGAAAAGCTAAACTTCTTTTTCCATGTTAAAAGATTTATAATTTATGGGCATAGCAACTCATCCATGATTTGTTAATTCCTGTGTGTCACTCGTATCCTCTATGGCCTGTGATTGACAGGCACGGCCACTCCCTCAGAGGCACCAATATATTCCACATTTGTGACCACACACATGATCACAAGCTGGAAGGGAAGGAAGAAATAGAGGAGAAATCTAAGTGTCAGATGGTATTTTATATTTTTCTTGCTAATAAGGCTTTGAAGAACGATCAGACATAGGGAAGAACATGTTTTTTCTTGTGTTTTGCTTGACTTTCTTGACATGCTGTATCCACACAAGAAAGGCTTGTCCTCCCTCTATAAAATTATTTATCTAAGCACCCTAAAGTATTTTCTCCAATGCATTCCACATTTAATGGAATTAAATTAATGGTTGGACATTTCACAGAAGTTATAAGAAAAATTCTGTGATGACTTTTATTAAAAAAGAGTCATGTTTAAAACAAACAAACAAGACTGCAAGTTATTGAATAATATAAATTATCTGGGTTTGGGTTTCCCTTCCTGCTCCACTTCAGGCTCCTACATCTGGAATTTTATTGTCCTGCTTCAGTTTAGCATTAGTAGTTTAGGTAGATACAAAAAAACCCAAAACATTGAAATATGGGTCCATGAGGAAAGAGTTATACTATACATTACAATTCTAGAATGATTATTAAAAAAAAAAAAAGGAGGAAGCTAACAAATACATCAATTGATCTACTTTTATTTTATATACAAGAACAACCCTCATCTTGTGCAATCCTTATTTTTTACCTTTAAAATAACTTCTGACAGACTGATGGCACATCTTCTGAGAGCTCCTAGAGCTGGTGACACCTTACTTTGTACCTACCATAAAATAAGTATTTTGCACACACTGCAAATCTATTTCAGACACATTTGCATTAAATTCCATTTTAAGTAGTACTCTGAAAACAGGGGGAGAAAGGAAGGAAAGAATGAAGTTTTCCCAGTCCAAGACTAATGGTGTTTGCTTAATCAGCCTCTTCTAAACACATTATGCAAACCCGTCTAGGAGAAAAAAATAACCTTAAGTCTAATTACCATAAAAATATCTTATTACTAAACAGAAGAAAGTGCTCACTGCTGCCCTCTCCAACATATGATTAGGAAAAATTTGCATTCTAAAGTTTAGAATTTATTAGTTTAACCTTTTTTTTATTACATGTTTAATTTAAACTTCAAAAAATTCAAATGACAGTTTATATTGGAACAATGTTTTGAAGCTCTTTTCTCTTGTCACAAGCCCAAATTCACCATTACAAGACTTCTGGCTAAAGTAAAGATTTCTGCCTCCCCTCTTTTCCTGTTCTTGTTATACAGCCACCACTCCTGAACATTCATTTGCTTTTGTTGAGACAGTTCTCAGATCCATTCATCTCTCTGCTCAGTCACACCCCTGGCACAGCACTGAGCTACTTAAACCCAACAGTGATTAACAGGAATTATGGAACAGATAAACCACTAAACATCACATCAGTTTTACTTTGCGTCTCTAACTTCGTACACAAAGCTTGAAAAGTGCAACTGACTTATTGGCACTTTCACATAAATCTGTCTGGAACAAATATTTGGATTCCAGAATTTAGTTTACCAAGACTGCTGCTCCATTTTTATACTTCAGACATCCAGATCTGTGTATAAATGTTTGTGTTTAGACTATTAAACATCAAAAACAAAAAACACTTCACATAAGCTTTTTCTGACCCACTAATCCATTCCTAGTCTAACACAAACAAACCCAAAACACTCAGTAGTGGAAGAAGAACTGTCTGGTTCACCATGCATTCCCTCCCTACAGTGATGTAACAGGAAGCTTCAAGGAAGCATTTCCCATGTGTGGTCACAGCAAAAATTTAATGTAGAACTACTAAAATAAGGAATGATGAAATTAGTTCATAGAAAAAAATTTAAATGCAGTCTGTTTAGAAGCAGAAAAGTGCCTTTTTGTTGTTGTTGTTCAAAGAAACAAACAGGCACAAAGAATACTGAAATTACTGAAAATTATCAGCATGTGGGATTTATTTCCCTAGGGGCTCTCATTCAGCTAGCACATTGAAAAATCTCAGGTACTAGATATCAACATAACAAATGTTAACAGGACTATGAACTGCAAGACCCCATCAAGCAGCCACCAACACGACACCGTCTCCCTCACAGTGGTGAGCAACTTCAGCATTTTATAATGATGATTTTTTTGCCTTTTGTTATCACAGAATAAAAAATTGGTTTGGATTGAAAGGGACCTTACAGACCATCTCATTACAACACTTTCCACCAGGCCAGGTTGCTCCAAGCCCTGTCCAACCTGGCCTTGGACACTTCCAGGGATGGGGCAGCCACAGCTTCTCTGGGCAACCTGTGCCAGGGCCTCAACAACCTCACAGGGAAGAATTTCTTCCTCATATCTAATCTAACCCTGCCCTCTGTCAGTTTGAAGCCATTTCCCCTTGTCCTGTCACTCCAGGCCCTTGTCCAAATCCCATCCCCAGCTCTCTTGGAGCTCCCTTAGATACTGAAAGGTCACGGTAAGTTCACCTCAGAGCCATTTCACTGCTCAGATGAATGGAAGAATCCTGTTCTGAATCGATCCAGTTTTGACCTGGGTAGAGAAGAGGCCCAGTTGAAACCATTAAAGATTTATTCCTGACAGAACCAATTAGGCCTGGCTGAGCAGCAAAGACCTTAATTAGTCACATGACTCAAATTCCTTACTCACGCAATTGGCACCAGGAAATTAATTACAGCAGCAGCAGCCCAGGCAGGGTGGATGGATTGTGATTGTCATGAGGGGATGCACTGAGAGCTCAGGTAGAAGCACATCAGTCACAAAAACACTGCAGAAGGGAATTCACATCATTTGGATGAACAAAGAATTCAAGATCTTTCTCCTCAGGAAGCAACTGAAGAATTTAATTTCAACCACATGAATAAGCCCAACGTGTTTGGGCCTGTTGGAGGCACCAGGCCTAAAGGATTACTTAAGGCATTAATTATACTTACCCTTCCCTCTAGACCAACTTTAAGACATGAAAAAAAAAAAAAAAACAGATGGAAAAAATATTTTGTACCAAATATCCGGTTAATCTAAGGAGAAAATTGTGATGCTTATTTGGCATTAAAAGCCAAAAAAAAAGTGCAGATTTTTGCTTTGGCTGGAAATGATCTTTCTCATTTTAACATATCTTAGAGAAATTTAAACATTGGTTGAAATAATAGTTCTTAAAGTTATCTGAGTGGTAACAGTTGTGCTCGTGTTTCCTCCAAACATCTTGCCAGCCAACCACAGGAAGCATATCCATGTGTTTGTCAGCTGCAAAGAACATTTCTGCACTGTTATTTCAAATTTAGGTTGTGACCAATGCCAGCTGATGAATTCCAGTGGGGGAACATCCTTTAAATGTGACATCTCAGTGCTAAGAGAGTCTTGTGTGTCTGGGGCAGAGAGTTTGATTCCTCTGAACTTACACCTCAGGTCTCTGCACACACGTTAATTTTAGGGGTTATAGTGAACCCTCTGTTCTCCTGACTTATGAACCTGTACAGACATCAAAGCAGTCAGCAGGCTTAATTAGACACTTAATTATAGATCAGGGTGGTAAGGAATGCATTTGGGAAATAAAAACATGATTTTCAAAGCCAGTTGAATGCCAGTGTGGAGAGTAACACTGGCAGAACGACGGTGCACAGTGCCCTTCACATCATTCATAAAAACAGGGTTTGGGGTTGAGCTTTGGTTTTGGTGGTTGGGAGTTTTTTAACTAAAAAGAGGTTCTAGCTTTCAGGTCTGGCACATTAGCACCTTTCATAGGTGAAACAGGGTTTGTACATCCACTTCTCCACTCGGCTGCATGGGCAAGGAAATGCACTTTACCAGTTTGAGATTCTACAGAAAGCTTTACCCCTGACTGCTGGATGTTTCCCATTCCTAAGCTTTGCTACTCCAGTTTTTTCCTTTCCTTCACTGGATAAACAAAAGCTACACACACTTCTACAGCCAAGGAAGTGCAAGAAGTAGAGCTGTGAGCATAACTGTGCCAGCAAATACAGTAAAACCAGCAAATCCCAATAATTTGTCATCTGGAATAACTGTTTTACTCTTACAGATAAAATAGAAAGATTATAAAATATGTACAGAATAAAAAAATGGTTTGGGTTGGAAGAAACCTTAAAGTTCATTTCGTTCCACCCCCTGCCATGGGCAGGGACACCTTCCACTAGCCCAGGTTGCTCCAAGCCCTGTCCAACCTGGCCTTGGACACTTCCAGGGATGGGGCAGCCACAGCTTCTCTGGGCAACCTGTGCCAGGGCCTCACCACCCTCACAGGGAAGAATTTCTTCCTTATATTAATCTATCCAGTTTGCTATTCCCCTTTTCTGATTCATCCTGTCATCCCACAGGAAGAACTGAAGATGTTTAGAACCCTTCTCTCCCATCTGTGTTATCTTCCTTTCATAAAGTAAATTTAATTATGTGTTTTCTCTATTGCTGTTTGGAACTTCCCTGTTTTTATTTCTTGCTACTTTCATATGCAGCTTCATTAACATGGTTTACGCCCTCCACTAGAATAATTAAATTATTTTTAAATAACACAGGCCTTTGTTATTTAAGGTCCCATGTCAGTTTTCAAAATAATGGCTGGGAATCATCCAACTGCAATTATGCTCTACCTACCTAAATTCTCTTTGTAGTTTTAATTAAAATACATTATCCAGTATGATTTCACCTCCTATTTTAAGTTCTTGTACAGCACTGGTTAGGGAAAAAAATTATCTCTGTAAAGCAATTACTCCTTTTTGTGGACTTAAATAGGGAGAATAAATACTTTCGGTTTATCCTAGCATGCAATGAGAGACTTCAGTAATCTCTAAAATAAGATACACTGTCTCTACAGGGAAAAATTGAGGAACTTGGAGTACTTTATCACTGAGAAGTGTTCTTCCTACAAGTAAGAAATGTTAAGGGAAAGCAAGTCACAGATAGATGAATGCCCTTGAACAACGACAAATAAAATAGAAACACAGGTTGAACACTTAAGATTTGCCACAATAACTAAGTAGCTTACAAATGTCATAAGAAATAAGAATCTGAGGAAAAGCAGAGAACATCTCCAGGATGATTAGGCATATTTATTAATAAATGAGGCTGACATACCAGCAAAAGAGGGGGGAAAAAAAGAAAAAGCATTGGTAATGCAGTATATTTTTGGCAGACATTTAACACTGGGGAGTTTTCACAGGAATAAAATTTGGATTTTTTTTTTTTTAAGATTCTTTTCAATCTCAGAAGATTTCTAAGCAAGTCCAAGTAATTATACTTGAGCACGAAAATCAGAGAGTTTAACCTGCCTTATTAGAGTTACCAGCACTGATTTTGCTCTCTCTCTTCTCTTTAGGTATTCAGTGAAATCAGCATCAAGAATTCTAAGAAAATAGACCTGATGCTTCCAGTTGTTCAGGTAATTCCGAGAGGAAGTTTAATCAGCAGATAACATCTCACCACAGAGAACAGGTACAGGCAAAGTCTCTGATTTGGGAGAGCTTGTAAGAGAACTGATGTCACACTCAAAGTGTATCTTCAGCTGAAAAAGTCACATTACAAACCTGTGCTCAGGTATCCACCTCATCGCAGAGCTCAGTCCAAGTGTTTCATGCAGCTCCAAGTAATAATCCAAAAGGTAAAGCTTTGTATTAACAAATTTCTTCCTCAAATTTCAGCACAGACTGCAGGATCCTGTGTTATTAAGGAGTCCCCAGTAATCCTGTGGAATCAAAATTAATTATAGAAGATGTTTTCAAACAAAAACATTCTATTTCTTTCCTCTGAGAGCTGGTAAATTGTTTTGCTCCCAGAGAAATACAGAGATATTCCCAGGAATTTCTGACTGAAATATCAAAGCCATCAAGGTGGAATTACCCCAATACACCTCATTACAGCCTGAGCAGCTGGCTTCATTAATGTAATCAATATTGATTTCTTTTAATTACACCCCAAGACATTTTCCCAATCTGAAAGCTGAATCCCACTTAAACACTCTTAATGTGATGGTTTTACTCACATAACAACCCAAACCACTGCAGAGTTTCCCTGTGTTTACAACCACCAAAAAGTGAAGCTGGTTACATACATTTGCACAAAGTTGGACTTCGGATATTGATGGAAGGGATCTGAAATGAAAGTTTGAATGTTTTTTGCGTGCTAATATAAATAATTAAACAAAACAGACAATCACCCTCATTTCTAGGATCAATAATTTATTTCTTTTTTTTTTACATTTTGCAATTTGTTACAGGAGAAGAAACACTTGCTAATGAATGTGACATGTTTTTGAACCCATTTTCCAAGGTAATGGAAAAAGTTAAGCATATTCCCTAGTATGCACATTGATGACTAAGCTGCCAATATGAAATCAATTTAAGCAAGTGCAGTCCCTATTTAATCCTTGTATAAATTAATTTTAGGACTCTCCTTCTCCTACAGGAAGACTAAATTGTAGCATCTAATTTTTTTTTTTTTTATCCTGAAGTCTCAATCTTTGCTCTCTACATATCTATCTGCAATAAGTCAGTTTAGGGACTGAAGCCAAAGCCACAGAAGTGGATTCCGTGCCAAGGTTCCTTTTATTCCTGGTGATCTACTCAGTTCCCTACTATCCCAAAGGGAAACAAAAGACTCCCAGTTTTCTGAAAACCAGATTCTCTGCACAACAGTGCATTGCATTGCCACAGGATGGGCCACAGTGGATGTTCTCCTAGCAAACAAATCAGGTAACTAACAAGTACAAAGAATTAGAAATTAACTTGGTAAAAATGCTTCTAACATTTTTCCAGTGGTGTATTAACTAGAATCCTACTTTCGTTCCACAAAAAATAGATATATTTTTTTATAAATACACTTTAATACAGACAACTCTGCTGCTATGCCAAAAAAAAGTCAATGTCACATTCAAACAGGTTTGCTGGGTGTATTAAGATACAAGCAGACGTCACAGCAGGCATGAACACAGGGCTTGGAGGGAGGCTACAGACACACAAACACCATTTCACCCGCTGGGTCACACTGACCAGTGACATAGAAAACAACTGAGCTGCAGCATTGAGACCTAGAGCATCACACTCTCCAAATACTTCAAATACTTCCATGTATAGAAAATGATACGAACTGTGAATGACATTTAATATTAGTATTGAAACACTTCTATAAATTTAGGTAGTGCTTATGCTGGGGGTATAGAGAAGAACCACGAAATGAGGCTCCCAGATGACTCAGACTCAAGAGAAAACTCCTTTACACTTATCATGGCCTTGAATCTCTTGGGTCCAAATAGCTGAAATTAATTCTTTTTCTGTCCTTATCCCCCTCTCTCCTCATTTTTTCCCCCCACAAAGAGTCAATGCACATAAATCTGCCCAGTTTTTGTGCCATACATACACATTTCTAGCTGCTCCCCCACACCCCTATTAACAATAGCAATAATCTCTATAGTTTCCTTCCTAACCAGATCTAATTAAAATTGAGCTGCTAACCATCTTTTGCAGGTTATGAATAATTAATACAGCATTTTTATAATACTTATTAAGTGTGGCTGTTGGATATTAGCATTTTCTTACCTTAAATAGCCCCCCATCTTTGCATGACTAAGAGTTCTCTATAATTTTTGTTATGAAGATTGGAATTTATTTTTTATGGGTCGATATGTAGCACAATTTCTCAATATACCTTAACAGACTTTTCTCAAACTGAAGGTATTTGGAAGTTGGTAGCCTGCATGTTTCACACACAGCCAGTCATCACTGTGACACTCTACACAGGATTTTGGAATGAAATTCAAACAGAGGACAGAGATGGAAAATAGAGCATCTTACTGACCTGCTCAAAAACAAGACACAGAGAGAGATTGTGAGCAAGAACTAAACCCCAACACATTGTTTTCAAACCTACAGAGACTTCCTACATTAAATAAAATAAATAAATAAATTCTTCGGAGTCAGGGAGAGTGGATCATTCAGTTATTTCATAAATGTCACCACATAGAGGATAATTCACAGAAACAATTTTGGCTTTTGCCATAAAAAGTTTCTAGAATTTAAACCGCAGTTGATGTGTTAATTTTAAAAATAAATTGTTCTCTTCCTGCCATGGAAGTGTGAATAAATAGAGCATGCAGCATGGCAGCTCACCACCAATGTATTACTGCTGCTTTTCTTAAAAAAAACCTGACATTTCAAGGGATCCAAGGCTGACAAAGTGAAAAAAAATGTGTCGAGTTATAATTTCCTTGAAAGAACGTGTTGAGCTATAATTTCCCTGTCTCTCAGAAAAATTATGTCACTATTAGCACTCACAGAGACTTAGTTTCTTTTTCCAAGATTAAGTCACTCTGTAAAGCACACACATAATCCCATTTTATGACAGGAAACAGCCGGGCATTATTAGCAGATAATCTTGGTTAGCTCTTAGATGTTTTCTTTCACTTTCAGAAAGTCACATCCTGAATTGCCAGGCTGGCTTGTTAAAATAGAGCTGCAGTGCTAATTAAAGCAACGTTTAAAATGGGCCCAAGGAAGAAAATAAAAGAATTCTTTTTTTCCAGAGCCATTACTTGCTGATTTCGCAATGAAATTCCAAAGTAAACCCCAAATAATTAATATTAAAATACCAAATAATTAACTAGACTAGGAGATTAACAAATTCTTCTGTGAACAGTGCTGCTAAGATTTAATTTTTCAACCAGTTTATAGTAAGAATCAACTGCCAATTTAAGGGGAAAAAATGTGGGTTTCACTTTACAGCTTATCTGATTCCCACAAGTTTGTAAAGACTGTGGATGCAGATGACCTTAAAGAAATGCTAACAAGGCTTTTCCAAGTAAAACAGGGAGATAACAGTGATAACTGCTCCAGTGGAACACAGAAAAAAGTACCTTCATTACACTTCCCACAGAAAGTTTTGTTATTTGTCATGGTTTAAGAATCAGAATTTGTTATTTGTAGCAAATTCTGGGGACTTTTAAAATTCCTCCAACTTTGCCTAAAGCTACAATAGGTTGAAATTAATTTTATTGAAAATGTCCAATCTTTGTTTCTGGTTTAAAATATTCCTAATAATACTAGACAACAAATTGACTCAGTAAAGTATCTCCTATATGATTCACACCAAATTTTCTGTTAGCCTGGAATTACTACCCATGGAATCTGAATTACCAGATTTTAGGAGATCAGCAGCAGATAATTCATACTGTTGTGTTTAACCTCAAACCTACCCTAAAATACAGTGTCAGAAGGTCCATCCAACAACACACTGCCCTCTTGGGGACAGGGTGATTTTCTCGTGGTTCTTTTATAAGGGGCATGTCTACCACTCAAGTTTCCATTGACTACAGTAATATTTTTATGGAATTATTTTGGTTTTGACGTCCAAAGTCTTAAAAGGAGCAGAACATGACTATTGCAGGTGGCAACAATGTGCTGTACAGAGAGGAAACTCTGTACAATGACCCAAGGGTCCACACCAAAGCACAGCTAATCTCACCAAGACATACTGAGATGAATATTTCCATATTAAATATATGGCTGGTTATTCTGGGCAAGTACCATTCCTAACAGTCTTTTAAAAATCTTATGCACAGAAGTGACTATTATGAACAGCAGGTAAAAATACCACCAAAAAACCTCTGTGCAGGGTGCTAATTATAAACACACATACTCTCTTCTGTCTCTAAGTCAATATATTTTCTCCTTCAAGAGCTGAAACAAAATTCAGAAATACTTAAACTTGCAAAATGTCACTGTATATATGGTTAGTTTAACAGCCTTGATTCTAAAAGAAAAGGGGGGGGAGGAATGACAAAATTTTTGAAACTATTTTCACCTTTAGTAATTATTGTGCTGTAAAATCAATGATCAGTAGCTCAGAGCATTATACAAATAAGGAGAAAATTCTTTGTATCTCTCAAACAGATCAGTCAGCCATAGGCTAGCTGTATGATTTAATATAGTAGAGACAAAAAATAGTGATAAATACAAGTCTCATTGTGATAAGAATTACTACAACTACTAGTTGTGTAAAATCAGTGAATTTTACATACTTTTGTAGCTACCAAGCTTAGTAAAAACTCTGTGCTGTAACCTAAACCCACTGTGTTTTCTTTAGAAAACTGAATCCTCTCTCAGAATTCAAGAAAGCCAAGCCAAATACAACCTGTGACACATTTAACAGTGACCACAACCCCAGCAAGAGCACAAAAACCTCCCTGTTCTTGGGCAGATGGCTACACTTGGAACCACTTGTAGTCCTGTCTGACGTAGGCTGCGACTAAAAAGATGCTCAGCACAACTGGAAATGGTATTTTATAAAAATTATTACAATCACACCTATCCGAGGCTAACATAGAATGTTCCACTTCAACTCACAGAATTAGACATGGAGACATCAAGTATTTATAGAAATATCTACAAACTTCAACTGCCTTTTTTTTTTTTTTTTTTTTAAAGTATCAGTGAACTGACCTTTAGAGTAGGGGTTTCATGACAACAGGCCACCCCATACTGGTTTATTCTTGGTGCTGCTACTTCTTGGGCAAAATTGGTCTTAAACTTCTTCCAGAGTCTGAAGAGAGAGCTCTTGCTAAATTTTTTCCTGTGCCTTTAAGTTGTACATTATTAGACTGTTTCACCTGTACTAATTATCGATGTGAAACATTTTTAACAAAGGGAAAGCACTGTCATAACATTCTTTAAATGCAGATACAAATAGAAAATTGGAAATTCCACATACTCCAGCTGCCATAGACAAATGAAAGTGTTGCTCTAACAAGCAGTACTGAAGATTGAGCAGAGATGAAAAAAAAAAAAACCAGACATGGAAATGTGTAGCATGAATAGGCTGAATGTTAGCTATGTGAAAATGTTAAATAAAGCTAAAATCCTTCCATTTTTCCTGATTATTCTGCAAAACCTGAAATGAATGGAAGGTACTTATGGAGGTTCATAGACCCACAATGCTAATTTACCTTCATCTGAAATGTGAAAGGACAGTACCCAATTAAAACAGCTCTGTCATTAAACTACTGGTCTTCATTGTGAGTTTCGGCATTTCCAGGATTAAACAGAACATTAAATAGAAGGACCAAAACTAAAGGATGAAATACTTATGGAGAGAGCCAATCTAAAGATGAAACTTGCCTTTGTGAGATGCTATGCTCGACATTTTTGACGGGATGGACAAGTTAAATTGGCCTTTGAAGCACTGACAAAGAGAAACAACCAACCAAACCTCTGTCTCTGCATCCATCCTCTCACGTGATTTCTGTGATTACATTCTTTGGGAAAGCAATCATGTCCTAAAAGATACTTGAGGGCAAGAACACAAATTCACAGAATTAGGGCAAAATCCCCCAGGTCCCACAAGGCCATTTTCAAAGCAGACACTTAAAGAACTTAGGGAACTGGTATCCAAAGATCATTCAGCTTAAAGTTCTGAAGAACTGGGTCTGCTTCAAAGCTCAAAAGAGATGAGACCGGCAAATTTAGTCATGAAACTCCTACTGTGGCAAAGAGTCCTTGGTTTTGTGGATCCTTTGTCCGGTTGACACTGCAGGCAGCAGAACTGAAGGTGTTGGTATCCCTGACGACTTCCATAGGAAAGGGGAGGCCAGCGCGGCCCATCCTGCGCTCAAGGTCCTCCACTGTATGAATAATCTGCCTTGTTGTGCATCACCAGCTTGTTGTCTACAAAGTAGAAACTGTCCGACTGTGTCTCGTAGGGATGAAGGATCATCTCTCGAACTGCAGGGGGTAAAAAAGGACAAAACAAACGAAATTAACAGTGTCACACTGCAGATATGCTCAGGAAACACAGGATTTCAGGCAGGTTTTCGCTCAGACAGCAGCAAACTCTTCAGGTGAAAAACCCAAATGGGAACCAACCCAAAGCATTTGCTGACAGTATCTTTGAGACAACTCAAATATAATCACGGAATCATAGAACCATGGAATCATTTATGTTGGAAAAGCCTTCTAAAATCATCAAGTCCAACCACTAACCCAGCACTGCCATGTTCACCACTGAACCACGTCCCCAAGTGCCACATCCAGACATTTTTTTGAACACTTTCAGGGATGAAAAATGTTCATAATCCAAATACATCAAGGCACCATAAAAGGGTAACTGCTCCACCTAACCTCAAAATGAGATCACGTTACAGTTTCCAGGGTTTATTTTGCTGGTTTTTTTTTTAAAAGAAAAACATGATTAACAGTGAACTCAAAAGAAATTTGTTCTGGTCTGATAATAAGCAGGCAGCAAGTGTCTCACTGTATTTTCTACAGACTGTAATATTAGTGCTGACATACACAATTAGGGGTTGTAAAGAATAAGATCACACAGATTTAGTGCTTGTGCTGTTGTGCCTTGGGAGAGAGGAGAGACAATAAAAGTTATGTTCATACTAAAACCTCTCAAGCTCTCAATATAGCACATCAAACATTAAAACAGAACATAACATTTAAGTCATCCATTTATTGGATGCGTTTTTAATCCCATTTTTTGGTTGTTTTATAACACAATTATCTTTTTTCTCTCAGATATGAAGCTTCCTTTTTACAAATTAAAAAAACACACTAAAAAAGCAACTCTGGTGGGTGATGGGATGCAAGCTACCAAAAAACAAAATCAGTGTTAACACAGATCTAAAAGTATGAATTATTCTACCCAACATACTCTTTACAGACAGTTTTTAAGAAAGGGCTCCCCCAAACCACCTCAGATGCACATCACAGTGTGATAACCCAGAAATGAAAGAGAGCTTACTGAGATCCTCCGAGAGCTGGGGGAATTCATAGATGTGCTCACAAGTATTTTTACTGCTGGGGATGCAGAAGCCAAATTCAAAGTCAAAGCTTTTCAGCAGCTGATCGCGGAAGTAGTGCCTCTCAATCATACGGAAATTATTAATGGGTTTGTCCCCTACTGTGAATTCCACCCTGAAAAAGAAGGGTAAGATTGATGTGAGCTTTCTTGCCTAAAAAAGATTTGCGTCATTCCCGAAAGGTAGAAGAGAGCTCTGAAAAAAAAAAAAAAAAGGCTAAAAATATAAATCCACATCACTAACTAAATTATCATTTCTTCTTTTCATTAAAGCCTTCTACAGGGACACAAACACAGCATTACAAACCATAGTTTATACTATATTTTCCTTCTTTTTACTCAAAATAGAGACAAGTAAGACAATTCTTTAGGTGTCAGATTTTGTGGTGGTTTACTGAAGGATGCAAGCAGCACTGCCAGACATGGCAAAGGTCAAACATGACCTCATCATTTCACATGTATCTGTGGATCGATGTTTTTTGGGGAGTGCAGTGTGGAAGCCAGAGACAAATCTTCTGAAGCTGGCAGGAGCCTCTGACAAATAAACTTATAATGCACAGAAAAGAGCTGGAATATAAAATCACGGAATGGTTTGGGTGGGAAAGGACCTTAAAAGACCATATAATTCCAACCCCCCTTGCCATGGGCAGGGATACCTTCCACTAGACTAGGTTGTTCCAATCCCCATCCAACCTGGCCTTGAACACTTTCAGGGATGGGGCAGCCATAGCTTCTCTGGACAACCTATGCCAGGGCCTCACCACTCTCACAGGGAAGAATTTCTTCCCAATATCCCATTTAACCCTGCCTTGTCAGTGTGAAGCCATTTCCCCTTGTCCTGTCACTCCAGGCCCTTGTCCAAAGTCCCCCTCCAGCTCTCTTGGGAACCCCTTTAGGCATGGGAAAGTGCTCTAAGGTCTCTCCAGAGCCTTCTCTTCTCTGGGTACTCTTCCCACCTTATTTTGCCCCTTTTAGCATCAATCTCTTCGACACCATTCCTGAGGTAAACAAACAAGCTACAGGGATGGAGAAGGCGAGGTGTCCGGCAAAGAGACCTGGAGACCCTCACGACAACAAAAGATCCCTATTACATCAACTTCCTGACAGGATCAAAATGGAAGAGCCGTTTTCTATAGGATTTCAGTTGCTTCCTGTGCTAGCACAAGCAGCAGAGAGGGGAGTTACTCACGTGGCTCCCACTTGCCGCAGCCTGAGAAAGGCCGGGGTGAACTGATAGCGAACGAAGCGTCCGGCGTTGGGGTCCACGTCCTTCCTGTCATTGTGCTCACGCTCTGGAAAAGGGCAAAGCAAACCCTGTCAGAGTCATCTCAGAAACAGAAACCCGGCGAAAATACTCGCGATCACGTTATTGAGTAACATAAGCCAGGAAACCACTCTGAGGAAGCCTGATGGTGAGCTCACCCTCCTCCTGTCCTTAGGCATCCACTGCTGGTCACTTGGAGATGGAGTACTGGAAGATGGACCTTTAGTTTGAGTCACTGCTCACCTTCTGAAGTGATTCACTGCTCCTACCTCAGATCACGACTGCAGAGTGACTCTGAACAAGCCATCTCCCCTTAGCATGTCTGGTTTGCTACCCATAAGCTACAGAAAACTCCCTCTCACCTGCAGGAAGGTGGGGAAGGGTTGTAAGAGCATAATCAGGAAAAAAACAGTTGCCCTGGGTTTTTATTGCCACTGGTAACAGGTAACACTTGGATGGTTACAAGTACCATCTAAAAATTCAGGAAAAAAAAAAAGGGCAAATTTTCAGTTTGTCTAATTTGCCCAATTGACAAAGTTTCTCCCTTTTGGAAATATCATTTTCCTGGGTCCTTAGTGAAAGATGTTAAATTAACAGCAAAACTATGCACGGGGGGGGGGGGGGGGGCACAAGCTGATGAACAGCCAAGAAACAACCACACGGTGATCTCCTGCTCCTCCTCCTCTGCTTCTGTTTACAACATCCATCTGTCCTTTCCTGTCACAGATGGTAACCGTGAGAGCACAGCAGCAGCGAGCTCTGCTCACCGTGCTGGTACAAAGAGACACCTGAAAAACATTTCTGCTGCAAGCTGGGACTCCAGCCCTCCTGCAGTCAAGAGCATCTCCTGTTTCTGGGAAATGTACAGAGTAAAAGGAGTGGGAAAAGGCAAAGGGAAGCAGACACCAGCATGTGTTTGTTCATGAAAATGTTATTTTGTGTGTGCACTCACCTGAAGCTGCTGGTTTGGTGATTTCAAACAAGACTGTGCCAGACTCCATGTCCCGGATTTTAAACCTGGTGAAGTCTATCTTGTAAACATTTTCCTCTGGAGTGCACAAATAATCTGCAGAGGAAAAAAAATTTGAATGAAGGCTGCCCTGAAATACCAGAAATTTCTAGATGTTCTCTGGAGGCCACACAAGCAGGGAGAGCAGCCCAAATGCATCCCCGCTACTGCCCATTTTAATTCAAAACTGATGTCTCTGAAGAGTCTAATTTCTGAATGCCCTACTCGGACAGGACAGGGAAAAGGCCTCTCTCCCCTATAGACCCAGAGGTCATCACCTTTTCCCAACCCTCTGCCAGCAACTTCTGCATCCATTTACTCCCAGGGTACTCAGACTAGTCAGCACCTCCATCAAATCCCAGCCTTTCCAATGTAAGAGGCTTTGCCTGTTTTAAAAACTGCCCTATGGCAGAATGCAAGTGGCTAAGCAGCTTTGGGAGCGTTAAGCCGACTGCACTTAACTGGAACAGGAGTGTCCTCCCTTGTGCCACCTCCCTGCTCCAGCCCTCTGCAGACAAAGGGTGGCCTCTGCTCTCCACTGATACTCATTCCACATAAGGACTTGTTTTCCTCAGCACTGAAAATGGCATTGAAGCCTTTCCCTGTATTAGGAAAACAGGGAGCAGAGCCCATCCCCACTTCCAGCAGAGTCAGTGTCTTTGGGAGAAAATCATTACAGAATCACGTAGTTGTTGAGGTTGGAAAAGCCCTCTAAGGTCACTGAATCTGACCATTAACCCAGCCATGTCCACCACTAAACCATGTCCCCAACTGCTACATCCACTTGGCTTTTGAACAGTTCCAGTGATGAGGATTCCACTACTAAAGCCCCACGGATTTAGCCTTCAGCCTTGCTGTGCCCTGAGCCAGCTCCTGGCACGGGAATCAGCCTCCTCCCTGGGGAAGGAGCAGTGGTGCCTCATTTCCACTGCACATACAGCACAGATTGAAAATAGCTCCAATAACTTACTTTATCCTGACAAACCTAAATAAATGCTGTATGTAGACAAGTCAGGTCAGCTTTCAAACAGCTGCACATCTGCTTGATGTAGGAGACTGGTTTTGGAGGTTCCAAGGTGAAAATAACACTTTAACATTCTAATTCTTAGCACTTTCTCAGCTACTAATTCCTGCTGTTAATCTGAGCTAATCACTTATTTCTCTCTGCTTTCCTATTTCTGAAATTCAAATACATCCATGCACCTTAGGCTTAGTCACTGACTACATAAAAACAAGATACAAGTGCCCAGAGCTCAGATCTGCCCATGACAACCCAACTTCAGCACAGGTATAACAAATCCTGGACTGCTCTGAGCTACTGCTCCTGGGCTGCTGAGCATGAACATTTTCCTAGAAGCCTTTTATTCCTTCCAAATCTCCATAACTTGGGGAACTCTCCAAGTACACTCGGTACAAGGAACAGAGGTGTTAAATGCCCTCTCTGGACAGTTTTACTGCTCGCCAACATCCCCATATGGTGAATGCTCAAAAGAATGCCCAGAGAAGTTACGGATACCCCATCCCTGAAAGCGTTCAAAGCCAGGTTGGATGGGGCTTGGAGCAACCTGGTCCAGTGGGATGTGTCCCTGCCCATGGCACAGGGGTGGAACGAGATGACCTTTAAGGTCCCTTCCAACCCAAACCACTCTGAGATTCTACAATTCTATAAATGGGCTTTAAGAGAGAGGACAGTGTTCAAAGCATCCCTGGCATTTGGCAGGGATTTTCCCTTCCCTATCAACACAGCACAAGGAAGAACTAACACCAGCACCCACACTATCAGGCAAAACAAGCTAAAAGCTCAACTTTTCTACTACCACAAGAAAACACAAGGCTGGTTTTTGGCCAAATAGCCCAAGAACTGCACAGAATTGTCTTTTCTGCCTTTACCAGTAGCCAAGAAGACGGGACAGGCATTTAAACCAAGCCCTTGCCTTAAGCCCTGATGTTTAGCATTCCTCAGGGAGATGTCCTGCAATTACACTGGGATTTTAGGCTCTGACACATCAGCCACCCAAATTCTTAACCCGTCCCACAACTTCCCAGCTCTGGGCAGCCACATGCAAAATACAAATTGATGGAAGCAGGCACAGCTTCCCACAGTCCAGCTTTGCCTCCCTCCATGGCCACAGGCTGCTTCCCGGGAAGGCGAGGGGCTGTACAGAAGAGGGGGCAGTCGCCTGGGAGCCCGGGACACCTTCCCTAGAGCACGCGGGCAAATCTGAAGCCACGTTTGTCTGCAAGTTAATTATTAAGTGTTTTTACTCCTGCAGAATTCCTGCCCATCCAGCACCATGGCAACAGCTTTATCCCCCTCCTTGGCAGCAGCGTTGCTGCAGTAACAGTGTCCATGACTCATCTGGAGCAGAGGAGAGCCAAGTAGAGCCTCCAAAGAAGAGTAAACCCGGGTAGAATCCCCACCAGGCTCCTGCTCATTGATGTTTGCACCCCTACACTGCATTTTCCAACTCTTTTTGCCCCGAAAATATTTTTAAAAACCTTTTTTTTTTTTTTTAATCAACATGTCAGGATACAACTGGATGACATTTGGGAAGCTCAGCTGCCAGCATACTGCAATCAAGTGGTTTTTCCTCCCCTGGCAGTGCCCAGTCTTCCTAGAAGGGAAAAAAACCAGAGGAATATCTATTCCTCTCAGTCTGTATTATATTTGTTTCTGCTATTCCTGTTCAAAAATCAATCAAAGTAGCCACGTGTTGGTTTTTTCCCCACACATAACAGGAGCCTGCGGCTACACTGGAAGGTCTTATTGAGAATGGGCTGCTTGCAATTGGCAGATCCTTCTGCTTAGCTGAGCACTGTCAGATTTGCTAATCTCATCCCATACTTATTTTTAAATTACTGTAGGGCCCAGTTGCCCACACTTTCGTGACTCACTTAAATGTATCATTTGCTTTCCTTATCCTAATTCACCATGGTCACAATTTGGGGAAAGAAGGTAGCATCCATGGTTATTTTAGTTAGGCATGAGGCAGCTCAAACCCCTGTGGAGGGGATCGTTACAAGAACGGTGGGTTGGTTTCTCAGGACAGAATATTTTCTCATTTCTTCCACTTCCCCTGGAGCAGGTTGTGTTGTTTCCCTACTAATAACCAAATAATCATGGTATGTTCCTGACCAAGCCTTCAGTACTCACCTGATTTAGGGATGACAGAGCACGCTCTGAGCAAGGGATAAAGGGACAGACACAGCAGCACTGCCCTAGGAAAACCATCAGATTGGCCTTTGTCTCAAAGTACCCACTGCAAAAGCAGGTCACAAAAGAGGAGCATTTCCTACTCCTTCCTAAAGTCCAGGGAATTGCCATATCCCAGACCTCCATCCCCAAACTCTTCCTGGAAACCGTTCACCAAGTTGAACTTGATCTCAAAGGAAACAGCAAAGCCTTGAAACCTGCCCAAGCCTGGCATTAGCAGCCACTTCTCACTCACACATCACTACTCCTGCTGGTGCCTCTCCAGCTTCTTTCCCATAGTCTCTGGATCCTGCCCAAAGATCTGCAACTCCCCACTATTAGAGATGTTTTCTATCTTAATGCCTACCATGGTTTTGAAAAGTTTGGATCACAACTAACAACACCATTGTGGTCTGAGGAAGCAGCAGAGGTGATTGACTTCCTGAGCCTGGCTCGATGAGTTCCTTCATGAATTCTCCTACTCCCTTCATAGGAAAAAATTATTCCAAAACCACCCCAAACAGTTCAGAGGACTCTAGCTTTCTTCTCAGACCCAGTGGGTGCTCCTTCCCTGTTCCAGTTCTGAGGTGGTGCCTCCACTGCCTAATCCAGAAAAGAGCCAGTTCTCATTCAAGAAACCTTTCTTCCATCCCAAATCCAACCAAAATTGCAAACTAAACCAGCAAAACAGCCTAGACAATGCCAGCAGGCACTGCCTGTGAACACTGGCACATCCTGAACCCTGGTGCATATTTCTAGGCATGTATTTTAACAGTTGGTGTTACAGAGGAGCACAAAAGGTGAGGGATAACACAGGGCTAGATAATACAAAAAGAAAGCTAACAAAGGCACTTTCTCCTCTGGCCTTCTTCCTATTGTTCCAGTTACCCAATGGATAAGATTAGGTGTTTGATCCTCATCAGAGAAAGCTAAAATCAATCCTATATTTTCAAATTTCCTTTGCAACCACCCCACTAGGCACGTTTTATCAAGAGGAGTTTATGGGCAGTAGGGTTCACACTCCTTGTTGTGCTCTTTTCAAGATCCCTTCTCCTTCTCTGCAATCAGGAGAAAGCACGTGTCCCCTCTCACAGACACCATGGATATTTCTGTGGTGCTCATCAGAGTCTAAGCCCAGATTGGGCAGCTCCTATTTTAAGAGCTCAAGAGCCCACAAAGGAAAGCAGAGTGCACCTGGGGTAAGAAAGAACTCAAAATCTGGTCTTGAAAATGGGTGTAAACCAGGAGATACTGTACAAGAGACTGATGGAAGGGTAGTGACTTGAAACAGGAATTTCTCTCCCCAACACAGGCAACAAGAATTTAGGGAATGAATGAGAAGGCTCCCGCAGCTATGCAGGTTTATTTCTTAACATGCATTAACCAACAAGGTCAGGAGCTATTTTGAAGACAACTCCCAAGACCTAAGCCAGGTATAAGGCAAAGACAACTGCAGAGGAATTGCCAGGAGCTGGAGATTAGGAGATTATCAGATTGAAGAGTCTCAGAAGGAAGCGAGCAAAAATAGCCCGAACCCCGTGAAGATGCCAAGCAGTGACGCAGGACACAGTGCAGGACCTCGAGGGGAAGGCAGGGCGGGTTCCAGGTGGTGTTGACACACCTGCCCAGACAACAGGAGGTCAATTAAAGAAAAAAACAAACTACTTCCTTGTCCTTTACCTTAGCAGTTCAAGTCCTGTAAAACTAAGCCATCCAGGATCCAGAATCCACTCCATTTCTAGAGCCATGGGGTTTGGTAACCAAAGCCTGGGGGTGTTATTGGGGAGGGAGGCAGCTGCCCTCCCATCTAGCTCCGGAATTAGGCTGCTGTGATGCCGCCCCAGAAGAAAAATCCTGCACTAGAAGGATCCCACAGGAGTTTTTCCACAGAAGCACATCTACTGACCAACACTGTGAATGAAGCAGAGGGGTGCAGCCCAGCAAGCTCTGAGCTGGGGCACTTTCCAAGGTCCCCAGAGCCCCTCAAGTGCTGAGTCCTACTGCACAGCTCACCAGGCTCTTGCTTTTTATGGCAGCCTGCTCATCTCTTTTTTTTTTTCCTTTCTTTTTTTTTTAGCTAGAGCTTTCCAGACTTCACCCTCTCACAATTAATTTGATCACAGCCCTACAGGCCTTGTTGAGGAAGGATGGAGCTGTTCTTCCCCCACCTCCAAAGCATCCAAACATTTTTTCCTGCCCCTTTTTCATGCTGATTGCACTCAAAGTCTGAAACCACGTGCACAACATTAACAAAATCAGCTATTTTTGCTCTTACACAGGGCTGAGCCAAAGCCATCCAGTTCTGCCCAGACTCCCCTGGCGGATGCCAGAGCTTCCCTCTTACTTTTGCCATTTCCACCACGGATGGCCCAAACCCACGACCCCGGCAGAAGGAGGAATCCTGTGACACACACACACACCATGTGTGCTGCCCCTGAGAATCTCAACAGCCCATATTGTACTGTGAGACTTCCAAAAACACCCTTCATCTACACAAGACCCCAAGCCACGCAGCATCACACAGCCTTGGAAAGGTTCACAGCCTATGTGGGGGTGCTGAGGGAAGAGTCATGGAGAGAGCAGCTTGGCACAGCTCTGGGATATCACTCTGAGACAAGAAATCAGCACATCAAAACACATCAACACATCACAGCCCTGGACAAGTCAGAACAGTGATTCATTAACATCCTCACAAACACCCGCAGCTCGTCAGAGCTCCTAATAAAATACATTCTCCCAATTAACTGGAGAGGGAAGTCATGGTCCAGGAGTGGCTTTGAAGATTGATTCATGCACATCTGCCTCACATTCCTGTTAATGCCTCTCTCCCTGTGTACCCTCCTGGTCCTTGCTTACCCAAACCCTACAGCTTTAAAAATGGATTTGATCCTGGCTGCTTCAGCTTTACAGGACTTGAACTGCTGAGGCAGAGGGCAGGGAAATGGTTTATTTAGCTTTTCGGTTATTTGACTACAGGGAAACTGGTATGAAAGTCACATAGGAAAGGTCTACTCTGCCCAACCCACTGAGGCAGCCAAGGCTGGCCTTTAGCTAAAGCTGCCTAGAGAAGTCTCAAAGAAATCCCCAGTGACAGCTCGAGGAAGAGATTACTTTCAGAAATGATTATGTACGTGTTCCTTATTTAAAAATAAGATTTGTTTTGAAATTGTTTCCAAGTATATAATCCATTATTTAACCCCTTGGTTCACTAAAATAAAATCAGCTTTAGAATAAAACCTAAAATGCATGATTTAATCTTGTATTATAGACAAAGTGTGCAGGTGATAAGCAGGGCAGCCTCAGAGGATAGAGCTTGTCTTTTGTTACGTATCTGACTCCTCTGATCCTCTGGTTGCTTCAGTAATTAATTACAATTTGAACTGAGCTCTGCCCCACTCCTTTACTAATCTTAAATTAATCACGTCATAAGGCTTTTCCGCTTTTTCTGACCACAGTTGTGTGAGCGAGTAACAAATCTTGCTAATTGCAAAGGAAATGCTCTGCTTGCCTTACACCTGATCCAGCTGGAGCAGCGCCAGAGCCAGCCTGGCCAAAAGGCCCAGATATCCCAGGGCAGCATCCCAGATCTGTCAGGCTGGACCCCCCACATACCCGGAAACATTACGGGCCTGGAGATGCTGGAGAATTTAACATTGAAAGGACATAGCATATGCAGGGCAGTTTGCACAACTCCTCCTTTAAGCTTATTAGAGGCACATTAAGAGCAGAGCCCAGCTGGCTGCCCACAGACAGGGTGTCCTGCCACAGAGCCACATCCTGCATCACCACCCTCCCAGCCCCAGCCATCTCACATTTGGTCATTTGTCAGCTGTACCTAGTGGGAAAGGAAAGACCAGCTGTGCTTCCTGATGGAAAGATTATTAGGAAGAAATTCTTCCCTGTGAGAATGGTGAGGAACTGGCACAGGTTGGCCGGAGAAGTTGTGGCTGCCCCATCCCTGGAAGTGTTCAAGGCCAGGTTGGATGGGGCTAGGAGCAACCTGGTCTAGTGGAAGGTGTCCCCAGGGCACGGGGTTGGAATGAGATGGTCTTTAAGGTCCCTTCCAGCCCAAACCATTCTATGCTGTAGCTAGCATTCCACCTCCCCTCACACAGGCTGGCAGGCCTTTCAGAAACACACAGGCTACTCATGGCATAAGCATCCTTAAAACACATGTTCCTGTGGTACCAAGCCCTCCTGAAGCAATGTTAAAACATGGCCAGGCCACCCCAGGACCTGGCAGGGTGGCCTGGGCAGGACACAACTTAACTACACAGTCCCTCGACAGCGCGAGCTGCCGTGCCACTGGCCCATGGGTTTGGATAAAGATGGATTATCCTCTATCTGGAAAAAGAGAGGACACCCAGGGCACCAGGACATTTCTGCTACAGCCCCACCAACTCCTCCTTCAACTTCAAACTGTGTGAAGCACCACAATTTTGGGCATCAAAGCCAGAATTGTTGCAACAGGGTGTGGTGTCTGCTCCGACTCAGCATCTCCAAGGGGAGAGGTTGGGCCTGGGGCAGCCATGAGCTCTCTCACAGCTGGTCCTTCCTCTTCCCTGCTGCTCAGAGCAGAAGAGTGGAACAGTTTCACATTGGTATTTTTGGCCATCTGTTTTTAAGAGCATGGAAATGAGAAAAGGTCACAAAATGCCCCAAATAATCATTAGGTGTTAAAGACCTGAAAAATATTCTAGTATCTTTGCTCCCTGTTAAACCCACCAGGTGGAAAAGTGAGCTTGAGAAGGGGAGCTGCAAAGCATTCCCAGGTGATAAGATACCATATGCTCAACACAGATGTGTTGTTTACCTGTATCCCCAAATCCACATGGAGGATTTCAGGTGCAGTTTGCTGGCTCCCATGTACTCAGTAGGACAGAAAGCATTTCCCCTGGGGACCATGGGACATCCTCACAGTGCCTGGCTGTTGTTTGACATGACCCATCTGCACCCCTGCACTACCCTGGTACCAGCAACTCTCACAGCAGGAGGGGAACAAAACATTTTCATGCATTTCACATCTTCCCTGTGCTTCAGAGCATGCTTCCCCAGGGTTGGAAGATGCAGACAACAACCACCTCTGCTCCCAGCCTGGCTCAGAAGTCAGGTTGACCAGATCAGCCTTCCCTGTGCCCTGGGAATGCAGATGCTTACCAAGAGCCATGCACCATGCACACTGATGCCACGTGAGGTCTGCACACCCCAGGAGCAAGGGTGCAGGGTGGCCCTGTCCTCTCCAGACAGCACTGATGAGGGCAGGGACACACAGGCTGCCATGAAGTGAGCACAGAGTGCTTAACACAGCTTGGATTCACCATCCAACAGCAGCACCTCCAGGGATGCTGGCAGGATGCTTCAGTGCCTGCTGCATGGCTCTCCCTGCTACAGGCAGGGGATTTCTAGGCCTGGGCAGTGAATCACGCTGCTGCAGCCCAGCATAGCAGCTTGGCTCGGAGAAGGGGACCCAAGGACCCCGCAGCACCAGCAGCCCCTCTCTCAGAGGAGCCTCTGTAACCCCTTCCTGAGGGCTGACACCACGTCCCCTCCCATCCTGCTCACACACGCAGCCCCACAGGGCTGCCTGCACGCACCAGCACCCACAGCCACATCCTTCCTCTCTGGGGCTCGTCACACCCCACAGTCCTGGCCTGTGACACAAAACCAGCTCTGACACCACATCACAGAGTGCTGTGAGACACAGGGGAGCACGGCCAGACCCCTAGCCCACCTCCTCCTGCCCAACCTGCCACTACTGAGAGACAACCCAAAGGTCCCAGGACATGCAAAAAGGTCTTTTTGGGGCACCAGGGCAAATCGCTCCTGGGCATCACCAAGACCAGGCTGACCTTAGGCACATGTGTTACTATGGAATGGGTTTGGTTGAAAGGAACTTTAAAGATGTAGTTCCAACCCCCTGCCATGGGCAGGGACACCTTCCACTAGACCAGGTTGCTCCAAGCTCCATCCAATCTGGCCTTGAACACTTCCAGGGATGGGGCAGCCACAGCTTCTCTGGGCAACCTGTGCCAGTTCCTCACCACTCTTACAGGGAAGAATTTCTCCCTAATATCTAAACCTGCCCTCTGTCAGTATGAAGCCATTCCCCCTTGTCCTGGCCTTCCCCCAGCCCCGCATGCTGCTACCCTGGCAGGTCCATGGCAGCAGACAGTCCCAACTGAGCTGTTCTGCCAAGCACAACAGACCCTCCAGTCACACACTCCCACCCACCAGCCCCCAGGATGCCCTTAAGACCAGGGGTACTACACTGGGGAGGAAGATCCTGGAGGAGGGGGGCTGAAGGATGGGCTGCAGTGAAGCCCCCCATGCTGTGGCCAGGGATCCAGCCTGCTCCACTGCTGCGGGCACAGGGTGGGGGGGCTTCACTTAGGGCACAGACACAAGAAAGGGGTGATGGGGAGAGCAGCGAGGAGCATCGACCTACGACCAGAGCTGAGGGATCGCATCCCTGGGGCGAGGGGTTGCATCCCCAGCTCCGGGCATCCCTGGTCCTCCGGTGGTACTCAGATCCCGGGCACAGACCCTTTCCCCTGAGGTGGTGCATCCCCAACTCCTTGTCCCCTGGGGAGAGGGGGATTAGCTCTCTCTTTCCCCCCGGGGTTAACCCCCTCACCAGGACACGGTCCCCATCCCCTGCACACCCCACGGCTCCCCGGTACATCCCCCCCCCGGTCCATCCCCGGTACGCACCGCTGGTGACCCGCTGCAGCCCCAGCACGTCGTCGGGCCCGATGAGCGCCTTTCGGCCCAGCTCCTCCTCGGTCCTCGCCGCCGCCGCCCCGGCTCCGCCGCTCTTCTTCACCTTCATGGCCCCGCCGCCGCCGCCGGTGTGAGCGGCCCCGGCCCCGGCCCCGCTGCGCGCCGCCGCACCGGGAGGGGCATCGCCATCACCGCCCCCGGCCCGCCCCCGCCGGCACAGCGCCGCCCGGTCCGCGGGAAGGCGGGGGGAAAGGAGGGGAAAGGGGCAACACAGACCCCCCGCTCGCTGCTCCCAGGGGCTCAGGAGGGCTTCTGTTGGAGAAGATGCCGTTCCCCCACGCCAGCGCCCCTGCATGGGGGGGCAGCCCCCCAGGAACGCAGGTGTGGTGAGGACAGACCCCCCCACCTGCCGCGGAGAGCACAGGGGCACCCCCCCATAACCCACCTCCTGACCCTCAGGCTGACACACAGCAGAGGAGCTAGACCCCGCTAAGGTGTGGCAGCCCCCAGGGACTCTGCACCCCTCAACAGGACACAGACTCCATTACCTGCCCCCCCCCCAGCCCCTCCACAACTGAGTATTTTTGGCTAAAAACCCATAAGACAGGAGTAAAGCTGACCTGTAATATAATACCCATAAGACAGGAATAACCCCACAAAATAATACCCATAAGATAGGAGTAACCCTACAAAGAAATTCGTGGGGGCAGGAAAGCTGGGCCAGGGGAAGGCAGGGCAATAGGTATTCCCCCCCTTCCCAGATGACTCATGGAGGTTCACAAAGCCCCACACCAGCCCCCCCACACAACAGGGGGTTATTTATTTACACAGCAGCTTGTTCTGAACACAGTACAGGGCTGGGGGTGCACACAGGGAGCCCCCTCCATCTCCTCTCTGCCTTTCTGGGGAAGGGTACCCCGATTGAGACCATCTCCCACTCCTCAAAACAGCCTCTTTTCCCACTCCTGCACTCTGGCCACAGCAGACCCAAGCCAAGCTGCCAGGCCTGGCCTTGACACTGTTCTGAGGCACTTTCCTGGGCCACGAGTCTGTGACAACACGTCCCATGAGGTGGGGACAGCCCCAAGGCAGAGCACCAGTGCCATGGGCTCAGTCCATCTTGGTGGGCTCCTTCTTACGCTGCCTGGTCTCCCGGACAATCTTGGCCAGTGACAGGAGAATGGGGACAGCCATGGGCAGGAAGAGTGGGATGTAGATGGCAAATTTCTGATCGTCAGGGAAGTAGAGGAGATGGAGGAGAGATGGGTCAAAGAAAGCCCGCTCCGAGGAGGTGACGGCCTCCTTGCTGGCCTGGAAAGCCGAGTGCAGGTGGCCCACGGCCAGCTTGGCCACAGCAGTCTGCACTGAGGCCACTGCTTGGTACACCTGTGAGGGAATAATGCCAAGGGTCAGTCCCTGGCCATGGAGGATCACAGGGACACCCAGTCCCCTCCACTGCCCACCTCAGGGTGCCCCAGCACTACCTCAGAGGCAACATCATCCTTGATGACAATGTTCCCGATCTTGTCCAAGAGCTGGGCCAGCGAGGTCAGTGTGGTGGACACAGTGGCAATGTTCTCCACAGTGTGGGCCCAGAGCAGGTGGTCCAGTTCCCAGTCGGCCAGCCCCTCATTCCCTGGGCTTTCCAGCAAGAACTCGGGGGGCAGCTCTTCCCGAGACAGCCCAAAGAGTAACCTGGAAGTAGAGGGGAAGGTCCCAGCCCACATCACAAACTTGCATTTCCACAAGCTCCCTGCTCTTATTCCCTGCTATGTTCAGTACCCATCCTGCTTAATTGCCTCCTGGATTTGGGGCAGGACAAGCAAACCCTCCTACCTTAAGAGATGGGAGATGTGCCAGCACTCCTGGCCATGGAGCAGTGATGGCCATTAGCCAGCACCTCAAAGGCCACGAAAAGCCACCTTCAGCCTTCCAGAGCCAACAGTGTGAGAAGCAAACGAGCTGCTTGGGTCCAGCCTGCTCTGACCCCACTGATTTCCACATGGGCCAGGAGAGCACAGAGAGGTACAGGGAGAGAAGAGAGCATCCTCACCGGAGCTGGGCCAGGAAAACCTCCATCACTCGTGCCATGTCCACATCCACGTGCAGCGGAAGAGAGGCTTGGGGGGAAGCAGGGGCTTCAACATTGTAAACCTGCAGGAGAGCATGTCAGTGAGGCACAGCTGGAGCCTCGGGACTGGCAAGGTCACCAGCTGGGAACAGGGAGCCTCCACCTTGTCCGAGCACTGCCAGCACCCCCATGGTCCCGTACCATGATGCCGCCCCAGCGGGGGCTGTGGAAGGCATTGGTGCTCACTGGGGCTCCGTCCTTGTCGTGGATGTACAGGGGGGAGTGGGAGCGCTCTGGCACATACAGCAGGAAGTTCAGCACAGGGTAGAGTGAGGCAGCACTGGAGCCTGCAGTGGGACAGAGTCAAAGAACTCTCCTGGCCAGCAGAGACAGCAAGAGCAGCCCAGAGCCCAGCTCCTCCTTCACAGCCAGCCCCAAGCAGAACTGCCACACTGGCAGGTCTCAGTCACCCTTGCTCCCATCCAGAGCTGGCAGGGAAAAAGGGCACAGGCCACTGGCACAGCTGCCCCCTCTCCCTCAGAAGAGCCAGGTCCCGTGAGGCAGATCTCAGTAAGCCACACAAGCACGGTGCTCACCCAGGCGAGCCTCCACGGGGTTGATGACATGTGGGAGGCTGTGAGCACTCAGGAGAAAGCTGGAAGATTCCTTGTCATAGCGTGGTGTCACTCCTAGGACAGCGTAGTACAGGATCTGTGGGCACACAAGGGACACGTTGCTGGCAAAGAAGTGCGTCCCAGGGCAACTGAGGAGCCATGGGCTGGGCTCTCCCCACTGCCTCTCCCAGGCCTCACCTGTGAGTCCACAGAGAAGTTGGCCACCAAGCTCAACTTGTCCAGGACGGGCTTCACATAGCGGTTCACAGCCCCCTCAATGTCCCAGTCCACGGCGTGGGACTTGGGATCGGGATTCAGCAGGCTGAAAGTGATCTCATATCCTGCCAAGGACCCACGGCCTGTGAGGCACCAGCACAGCCAGCACCATCACAGAGCTCCCCAGAGCAGCAGGATCTGACCCCTCCTCCCTGGCCTGCCCCAATGCAGTCACACACCAGTGCCCCATCACAGCAATCACAGTACAAACCCTGCCCCAGAGACACTGCAAAGGGAAGACCCCGGGGTCTGTTAGCCCAGAAGACACACAAGGATGCTACAAGTGGAGCAGAGAGGGGATCTCCCCCAGGAACAGCAGGCTTTCCCCAGGTCAGGTCCGTACCCAGGCTGGATTTCAGGGAGCGCCGCGCGTCGGGGCTGAGCCGGCTGTCGGGCACGCGGTCCGAGAGGGCAGCAGCAATGGAGGTGGCCGTGAAGGACATCACCTGTGTCACCTGCCGGAGGCGGGCGTGGAGGGCAGCCAGGCCCCCCTCAGCCCTCACCAGGGCACTGCGGTGCCTCCCCACATAGACACTGGTGCCCTGGGGAATGGGCAGGAGAACACCTCAGTGCCACCTGTGACAGCCACCTGTGACACATCCCTCCCCCCGAGACACCTCTGAGGGGTGAAGCACCTCCCTACCTGAGGCAGGAGAGAGGAGGTTTCGGGGACCACGTACATGGTCAGGGAGCCCATCGAGACGTCCTGCAGCGGGCGCAGAGCAGCGTCAGCCTCTGGGGAACACACAGAGTCATCAGCAGGGTGGGAATTTCACTCCAATCCTCACTCTGAGACACAGCAAAGTGTGCCCTCTGCTCAGCAATGACGAGGTGCTCAGCATCTCTCCTCACCAGTCCCTTGCTCCAGTACCTCGTGCAGTGGCCGCAGCCAGAGCTGCCTCCTCCTGGGCCATGGTGCCCCGATAGGCCATCTCGTAGCGGGATGTGACGCTGGTTCCCACTACAGGGGGATAAAGCTGAATGAATCTGCTAATCCTGGTCCCTGGGCCCCTCAGAGGTGGCTCAGAGGGACAAGGTGCAACCCCAGGAGGACACATGCCGCAAGGTCCTTTGGGCACCAGCTGGTGACCCATCACGGCACGTGGCATCAGCTGGTCACTGCAGGCAGCAGGGCAGCCCCTCATCACACAGGCACATCCCACCCTCCCAGGGCTCCCTCGTCTACATCCCCAGGGATAGAAGCTGGTCCCTTCCCTGCAGCACACTGGAGACCTTACTGTCCCCTCTGCTCCCTGCACTGCCGGCTCAGGGCAGAATCGTGCTGGTGAACGTGGGTTTGGGGTCTGAGGAGCTCCGGACTGCCCGGGAGAGAAGCTACGAGCAGGCTCGGAGCCCCCGGGGAAGAACGAGGGTACCCAGGAGGGACAGATGGGGCAAGGACAGCCAAGGGGAGCAGGGGTGTCTCTCACAGTTCACGGAAATCTTCATCTCCTGCACGTCCCTGAACGGCAGGGGGCTCGGCAGGTCCCCGGGCACGGACCCCGGGCTGAAGACCACGGCGACGGGCACGACCAGCTGAACCTGCACAGTGGCAGCGTCAGCGCGGGCCCACGAGCCCCTCGAGCTCCCATCGACCCCGGCCCCTCCCGGCGCTCACCGACTGCTGGCCCAGCCCGTCGATGTCCGCGTAGGGCAGCGCGGCGCGGTAGGTCTCGGTCGTTCTCCACCACAGCGGCAGCCCCAGCACCACGGCGATGGCCGCGAAGGACAGGGCGGCGCGCCGGCCCCGCGCCCGCTCTGCAGGGACAGTACTTCAACACGGGCCCAGCTCCCTGCGGACTGGGGCCGGGGGACCGGAGCCGGGAGACAGCGAGTGAGTGAGTGAGCGCCGGACCGCCAGCCCCACCAGTACCTGCTTCATCCGCCGCTATCGCCGCCGCCGCCATTTTCACTTCCTGGCCCCGCCGGGGGGCGTGGCCTGCGCCCAGCCAAAGCCACTCAACGCTCGCTATGCCCAGGGCAGCCAATAGGCGCGGAGTGCGCCGCTCTGCGATACAGACGGGCGGGCAGAAAACCCAATCAGACCATGTCCCGGCCCTGAGGAGGCGGGCCTTGTGCTCTACGAGTGCCGCGGAGGGACACGCGGTATTGCTGCGTGCTTGGGGGTCGGGGGGGGGAGCCTCTCGTGCAACGGCAAGCAGCGGGACTGGGAGATGGGA